GGAAAACAGGACAAGACCAACCAAATTGTTCCTCTCCATCTGCATCTCGTTGAGGAGCCATGTTGGCGATTTCTTTGCTTGAATTAGGAACTACGAATTGGATTGTTGTTGGAGGGGGTGATAGAGGAAGTTGTGGTAATGGCTCTTGATTAAGCTCGACTGGAGCTATTGACAAGGTATCAATATGTTGGATTTTGATGAGATCTAAGAATGAGGGCCGAGCTTTCAAACGAGGACGAAGACCAAGTGACATAAAAGGATCAAGGATGGAGACGAATGGGAATTTAATTAATTATTAACCAACCAACTCCAGATTGAAAGTTAGGTGGGAGTGGAATATGTACGATGTGTGTATTATGTACGAGTACGAGTACATGACATGTAGACAGGATCAATGGTACCGGGGCGTCGAGAGAGATCAATTATAGACCAAGTGGATATGGATATCAGTCGGTCAACGGAAGGAGCCTTGGAGTACGTACAAACAAGCCTTGTTATTACTACCGTTGCAGGCAGGCTTGAAGCTTTTACTCACAGATACGATGTGAAGGTCTGGGTGCACTTTATCTTGAGTCTATCTACAAAGGTAGTTGGTAGGTAGTATCCGAGTAATAGGTTGGTGGGTATATCTCGTAGATATGTACCTGACTGAGCTTACAACATATGTATTTGATAAACACCGCTCGTACTGCTCTAAAGACACGCCTTCATTCCTGTCCCAAGTTTCCCCCACCATTGATGATCTTGAATGATACACGCTTTCAATTGGTACGGACAGCGGCGAGAGCGGATAATGGCGAGAATGATTAGTAAATGGTGGGAGGGATGGTAATAAAGGTGGGTTTATTTATCATAGTTTTAGGTCTCTGTAGTAATAATGGATGTATGCGGTACCGTACCTGAATAAGTAGCTACCTATTGGGACCTAGGAGCCTAGGTAGGTAGATAGATGTACCTACATAGATTATCGTCGCCTTCTCTTCTCAAGAATACCCAGTACCTATGTAGGTGCTCACCGGTGCTATATTATATATCTTTGTGAATTCATTCATTCCATCTTCCTGTTCCTCTTCTTCTCTCCCCCCCTCTCTCAAACCACAGCACCGTCCATTTGATGAGGTCACATATCTCTTCTTACATGCACTTCCTTCTCAACCTAGTATCATAATGTGAATCATCACCAGTCAATCCATCTGCAGATGTGTAGTCTCAAAGCGGCTTGGTGGTAGATTAAGTTTATATGTAGCACATGTTCTTGAAAAGTCTATCTATCAGTCCTCCCAGGTTGATAAGAATCATGATAGGGTAGGGTGACTGACTGCTGCTGACTGGAAAGGGCCAATGGTCCACCGTATTCCTAATCCAAGCACATACCTACCTAGTACATACCTACCCACCTTCCTAGGTATCATCCATTATGATCCATCCATACCTCATGTGCTGGAACCCCAAATACCTGTCCGACATCCTTCCATTACGGACTTACAGTTACAATGAGAAATACCTCCCTACATACATGAAGAGAGAGCTCGATTGACTTTTTTAAATCTCTTTTCGTCTTTAATAAATCATCACGAACTCTATACGTACTGCAACGAATAAGTATGTGAATAACATTGATAAGATCCTTTGTGATTCATTCATCCATTCCATCTCTCTCCATGAACATTCGAATTCACTCCACAAGTTCTGTTCGAACCCACCTCTTTGACGGATTCTAATCATTCACTCTATTAGCTGCTTCTACTTCGCTCGAGCTTCGGTTCGTCTTACAGATGCAAAGGCAAGCATTTAACCACGACAACCCCAGACTTTCTATACTTGTTTACTTCAACTTTTGCCTGCATTACAACAACTTGCATCACAACAACTTGCATCTTGGTGCCTCAATTTAACAACCCCCATAAGATTCTTGAGGCCCCTCTCTAGAATCTACATTCAAGCAGCGGCACTTCCGCAGATTTCGTCCTGGCAGACGACAGCCCCCATATACCACCATTATCCTTATCCATCCCCGACGACCCACCCATCCCGACTTCCCCTCAACCATCAACCAGCACTATCTTCTCAGCCCAAGCCCCTCTACCGCCATCACATCACAGATCAGATCAAATCGACCCCCCGCCTTCTCTCGAGAGACATAGCATAGATTCTACAACTAGGCAAACTGCTAGAACTCGTGGTATACCTCAAGCTGAGCTCCGGCCGAGACGTGCTCAAGATCAAGTCCTCGGTCGTAGACGTCGAGATCATACTATTGACCGAGGGGAACAATCAAACACTTCTTCGAGTCCTGGAGACTCTTCGAATCCTTCAAACCTAGAAAGCGAACACCGCAACAAAAGAAGACGTCAAAGTGCTAGTATGAGATCTGAAGTGGAGGATAGTACCACGAACGGTAGCTCTAAACCATTCTCAAATGGAGCGGAGACATCTCGTTTACACAAGGCAGCCCTCTCAAACTCTGCCAATGGTGCACATTCTTCCTCGGTAGCCATGAATGGATCAAGCACCAATGGACACTCAGATGCAGGTGTCAAAACAACATCTTCATATTTTGGACATAATAGAGAGGAAGTCACTAGGATCTTGGTCCAAGCTTTGACTGACTTGGGTTACAATGGTGCTGCAGCGAGACTAAGTCAGGAAAGTGGTTATGATCTTGAAAGTCCGATTGTAGCAGCTTTCCGAAATGCAGTTTTACAGGGCGAGTGGACCGAAGCGGAAGAACTGCTTTTTGGGGGATCTACAGATGGAGGCGGAGTTAATATTCATGGGAATGGATTGGTTCTCCGAGATGGTGTGGACAAGAATATCATGAGGTTTTGGATGCGGCAACAAAAGTTCTTGGAATTACTTGAACGAAAAGACATGGGCAGAGCAATAAACGTTTTGCGATCCGAGCTTACTCCACTATATCAAGATACCGCCAAGTTGCATTTTCTATCAAGGTATGCTTTTGTTGATATATTTCTACAATCTTTATCTCGACCAAGCAAGCACTGATCACCTGTACTAGCTTACTGATGTGTACACCTGCGGACCTCAAGGTCAAGGCTAATTGGGATGGGGCCGCTGGACAATCCAGACATTTACTCCTCTCACAACTATCTAGTAAGATTTTTGTTAATGACATCGGTTACTGGGTGATACTAACACTCTTCTAGGATGCATTTCACCATCAGCCATGTTACCTGAGAATCGCTTGGCCACACTTTTTGACCAAGTAAAACAACATCAGATATCTACATGCGTTTATCACAACACACACGAATCACCTTCGCTGTACCAAGATCACACATGCGACCGAAGTAACGTTCCATTGCGGCCCATCATGGAACTTACTAAACATGCTGGTGAAGTATGGGATACAAAATTCTCACACGATGGAACTCTATTGGCAAGCTGTGGCAGCGATGGTGTTCTTGTTATTTATAATGTTCCGGCTTTCAGTGTCCATACTTCCTTTTCTGAACATGAAGGTGGAGTCTGTTCTTTTGCTTGGAGTCCTGATGACACGAGAATGGTCACATGTGGGCGTGATAACAGAGCTTTGTTGTGGAATACTGCAGTAAGTTAAAAGTCCATATTCAAGATTCCCTCGCTGATTTCTTAGACTGGCGATTTGTTAATGAAGCTCCCTCGTTTTGGGGAGCCTGTTTCCTGTTGTGTATGGACATCGGATGGACAATCCTTTATCACAGGTTGCTTGGCTACTACAAAGAACTTATGCCAGTGGAATATCAATGGTGAGCTCGTATATGATTGGAGCCGAGATCATCGTATTCGAGATATAGCACTTACACCAGACGGGAGCCGACTAGTGGCCATCGAACACTTGACCCATCTCTATGTTTACAATTTCATAACTCACGAGCTTGAATATGAGCTGGACCTCAAAGTTCAGCTATGCTCGATCAACGTCAGCGATAACTCAAGGCACCTACTGATACATTGTAACACTGGAGAAACACGCATGTTGGATATAGATACCGGCGAAACAATTCGAACCTTCGTATCTGGGGATAAAGGGGGTGAATTTATTATCAGAAGCTCTTTCGGTGGTGCCAATGAAAGTTTTGTGGTTAGCGGAAGTGAAGGTAAGATTCGGATTTTGGATTGTACGCCTGCATTACTAATACATTCACCTATAGAGGGCAATGTTGTGATATACCACCGAGAGAACGGTTCAGTGGTAGAAAAGCTAGAAGCTCACAAGAAAGGTTGCTGCAATGCAATTTCTTGGAATCCAATGAATCCAAGAATGTTCGCTTCCGCTGGTGATGACGGCAAAGTTCGAATGTAAGTTTTATACCATCCGATCAAGGCATGAATCGAGCTAACAAATCTACCAGATGGTCGAGCGAGAATAGTCTTCAAGGAGTCTCTAAACAGAGTGTATTCAATGGCTCGCAGCGTGAATCTAATGGCTGGTGATTGGAAATTTCACGCCAGTGCACGGGCCTCTCGTAATGCTTTATGAGAAATGATGCTACAATTTCTCCTTTCATTGTTTTGCATCTTTCATCAACTTTATTTTTATTTGTTCACGTTACATACAACTCTCGGGGTGGCGATTGGGTGGAATGCAGGAAGGATTGCATATGGGTAGGCATCAATGGTGTTTGGGACATAACATACGGCAACGGCGATGGAGTTTTAGTCAGTGTGCGTTTTTGTAAATTGTTTTTCAATGCTTTAGACCTTTACGTATACGCTGATGGATCGATGGCGAGTGAATCAAGTCAGAGCTATTCAGTGAGATGTGGTTGGATGGAATGGCGAGGCAAGGCAAGGCAAATAAATGCATGGCATGAAATGATAGATATAATCTAATACATTGATCGCGAACCGACTAGATGGTATCATTGAAGTCTTGAATGTTGATATGTCGAATTCTCTGCTAGTGTATCTTTGACATCCTCTTCTATGGAGGGAAAAGAATGTCTAAATTTCTATAGATCTATGAATTCGGGTACCTAGGTATTAAGTAGTAAAGACTAATTCCTCTTAACATCAATCTCATCAGCCCAAGGAATCGCACTCTGAGCACCTTCTTTCTCGACTGTTCGAGCGGCCGCTTTACAAGCTTTTTGAACGGCGGAGAGCAGGATTTCATCGTGATCGGCGGATTGGGTGTTTGAAGAAGTATGGCGCACGAGATCGACGGCGTAGGCTCCGACGAATGTGTCGCCTGCGGCGGTGGTGTCGACTACTTTTATGTTGGATTCGGCGGGGATATGGGTGTAGGTCTTGGAGGTCGCAAGGATGGCTCCTAGATGGGAGGAGGCGGGAGTTAGTTTGGGGTTTGGGTTGGGATGGGAATGAGTATATTTTGAACTAGTGAAGTGATGATGGACGAACCTTTCGACCCGAGCGTTACGATAACCGTCTTGACGCCTTTGCTGAGAAACTCATCTGTGACGACGCGCCAATCAAACGAGGGATCTTCGACGGCGGAGACGGGACGCGAAGTGAGGATGGCGGCTTCGGTTTCGTTGAGGATCAGGTGGGTGATGGAGGGGTAGGCGGAGTCGGGGAGTTTGATGGCGGGAGCGGGGTTAAGGAGGATGGGGATGGAGAGGTTGGAGGCGAGGGTGAGGATTTGGAGGACGGTTTCGAGGGGGATTTCGAGTTGTAGGACGAGCAGGGTGGGGAGGGGGGTGCTGAGGGAGGTGGGGGCTGTGAAGGTGGAGGGGAGGAGGGACTGGGTTGTGGGTTAGTGGTGTGTTTTGTTTTGTTTTGTTTGTTGGAGAAGAGGTTGGAATGAAGTTTGGTCTTGAAGGGGATGGATTATGAAAAGTAGGTTAACTCACGTGGTTTGCGCCTGGGGAAAGGAGGATGCGATTTTCGCCGCTATCGGATTCCACGAGGATTACTGCTACGCCGGTGGATTGGGAGGGGATGGTTTGGATCGAGGTTGTGTCGATGAGAGAGTCTTTGAGGGAGGAGATAAGGGAGGGACCGAATCTTAGGGGATGTTAGTTTGTTAATATAAATGTGATTAGATATCGTATAAGAGGCGCCTGGAGGAATATGGAAAGTCTGATCATTTTGGGCGAAGGAGGGGGTTTTCCCCTGCCGTTGTCAAAACTAGTGGAACATATGAATAGCCCATTGAAAAAAAGGATAGGCTGATTATCTTTTACTCTCCGGAAGCTTGTACTTCTTCTATTTAACTGACAAAACTTGGTACTATAAAACCAATCACGCAGCAAGAAAGTCCAGAATAGAAGCCTTGCATAATTTCCTTGACTTGAAGACGTAACAAAACAGAACGAGAGAAACCCACTTGTAGGTAGGTATGTGAAATAAGGAAGTGTGATGTGATTTCGGTAAAGGAGAAATAAAAGACCTACTCATCATCACCAACTGCACCAATCATCTTGACCAGAACATCGCTAGTATGAGATGGAGCGGAAGCGGGATTGGGTCTTGAGAGACGAGCACATGCCACAGCTTGATTGGCACCTTTTCCGCCGGGACCAGTACTGAAGGACGTAGCGGTTAAAGTTTCGCCGCCAGTGGGAACGCGGGGGGTGAGCGTTACGAGATCGGTATTGAGAGATCCAATGACGGTGATAATTTTTGGCGACATGGTCGGATTGGGTGGTGGAAGTTATCCGCGTATTCGTAAATGTTGGAAAGGGGGTTGGGCACGTGCTTGCCTGCTATGATATACAGATGCCTAATGCTCTGGCGAAAATGCGTCGTAAGGGTGATGACGAAGCTAATGGGCTTGTTTGTTTTTTGCTGTGTGTGTAATACCAAGTATTCACTGAGCTAGAGACCAATAGATGAGTAAATGTCTTTGCTATGATTTAATAAGTACCTAATATATGTGAGCTGTTTCTGACTCCTTACCACACCCTCCTTGGCTTGGGTATCAACCCCGCGCCCCCACTGGATTTCAGAGACTTCTCATCCATTCAAACATTTCAATATTTTGTGATTTGATAGATTCTCCTTAGACACTTGGGGTTTACTCACTGTTAAGAACGAAGAATCCTTCTTACCAGAAATCACTGAAAACGATCAAACTTTTATCCTCCAGATACCTAGCCTACTGACAATCATATGAGAATCTAAACCCAAGCCAAGCCAAGCCAAACACTTTTCTGCATCAAAGGTATCCATCTTGCTGAGGATCTGAGCACGGGCCATATTACTAGCCTCACCTCGTGGAAGTTGGCCTCGCACGCCTGTTTGTTTTAAACAACAGAATATCAACAGGAGTCAGTAGCATTCTAAAACAGGAACTTCTCCAACTCCCATTTTCTTAAAATCAGAAAATACCAACAAGTGACAAGCTTGCAGAAAGATCTTGCTATACCCTCAAACTATCCATCTCCCTTGAAAATCAACACTCATACGCAATCATGGCCGCACAAGGCGGTATCTCTGACCCCGGTCTTATAACGTTGGGACCTCCTTAAGCTGTATTTCATTGCGCTGTATAGCTAACAAATGCTGCAGATTGGTGAATAAGCTCCAGGATGTATTCACGACCGTCGGTGTACAAAATCCCATAGATCTTCCTCAAATCGCAGTGGTGGGAAGTCAGTCGAGTGGAAAGAGTTCGGTCTTAGAAAACATAGTTGGTAGAGACTTGTGAGTCTGCCACGTACGTATCCGCAGTGTTATACATATGCTAAATCTATGATGATGCGCAGTTTACCTCGAGGAACCGGTATTGTTACTAGACGACCCCTTATTCTACAACTTATCAATCGACCAGCTCCCGCGAAATCAAACGGGGTAAAGGACTCGGAGGAACTGGCCGCTGGAGGTGATAAAGAAGCGAATGCTGATGAATGGGGCGAGTTTCTTCATATCCCTGGGCAAAAGTTCCATGATTTCAACAAGATTAGAGAGGAGATTGTGAAGGAAACAGAGGCGAAGACAGGTCGCAATGCGGGAATCTCTCCAGCTCCTATTAACCTTCGCATATACTCTCCAAATGTTCTCACGCTTACCCTTGTCGATTTGCCTGGTTTGACCAAGGTTCCAGTTGGAGATCAACCAAGAGATATTGAAAGACAGATTAAGGAGATGGTTCTTAAGCAGATTAGCAAACCAAACGCTATCATTCTTGCTGTTACAGGTGCCAATACCGATTTGGCTAACTCCGACGGATTGAAGCTTGCGCGAGAAGTCGACCCAGAAGGTCAAAGAACTATTGGTGTTTTGACAAAGGTCGATTTGATGGACGACGGAACTGACGTTGTGGACATTTTGGCTGGAAGAATTATTCCCCTGAGATTAGGTTATGTTCCAGTTGTCAACAGAGGTCAGAGGGATATCGACAATAAGAAGCAGATTACTGCAGCATTGGAAAACGAGAAGAACTTCTTCGAAAACCACCGAGCATACAAGAATAAGAGCACTTATTGCGGAACTCCATACCTCGCCAGGAAGCTGAACCTCATCTTGATGATGCATATCAAGCAAACTCTCCCAGATATTAAGGCTCGTATTCAGACTTCGTTACAAAAGTACACTGCAGAGTTGGCAGGTCTTGGAGATTCGATGCTTGGAAATAGTGCAAACATTGTGCTCAACATCATTACAGAATTCACAAATGAATGGCGGACGGTCTTGGAGGGTAATAACCAGGAACTCTCTAGTATCGAACTCTCAGGTGGTGCTAGAATCAGTTTCGTCTTCCACGAACTTTATTCGAATGGTGTTAAGGCTGTGGATCCATTTGATCAAGTTAAGGATATTGATATTAGAACTATCCTATATAACTCCTCTGGTTCTTCGCCTGCGCTTTTTGTCGGTACCACTGCTTTCGAGCTAATCGTTAAACAACAAATTAAGCGCCTGGAAGAACCCAGTTTGAAGTGCGCTTCTTTGGTATACGACGAGCTGGTCAGGATCCTCAACCAACTTCTTGCCAAGCAGCTATTCCGCAGGTATCCTCAACTCAAGGAGAAATTCCATGCTGTCGTCATTGCATTCTTCAAAAAAGCGATGGATCCCGCCAATAAACTCGTAAAAGATTTGGTGGCAATGGAATCGTGCTATATCAATACTGGTCATCCCGACTTCCTCAACGGTCACAGAGTAAGTTTGATGTTCATCACTTCATAATTTTTACTAATCTATTTTACAGGCTATGGCTATTGTTAGTGAAAGACATAATGCATCAAAGCCCGTCCAGGTTGATCCCAAGTCAGGAAAGCCAATTCCATCAACGCCTGCACGTACAGCAAGCCCAACACTTGATGGAATGGGCGAACAAAATGGTGGCTTCTTTGGAAGTTTCTTTGCTTCCAAGAATAAGAAGAAGATGGCTGCTATGGAAGCCCCACCTCCAATTCTTAAGGCCTCTGGAACTTTGTCGGAGAGAGAAGGCACAGAAGTTGAGATTATTAGTAAGTCGAATTAAAACACTTTCAGTTGTCATTGCTAACTCTTTCTAGAACTTCTAATCAACTCGTATTACAACATCGTAAAGCGAACCATGATTGATATGGTACCAAAAGCCATTATGCTTAACCTCGTCCAGTAAGAACCCCTGAGTAATTCGCAATTTATATTTAATTAACCTGTTGTAGATATACCAAGGATGAAATGCAACGAGAGCTTCTCGAGAACATGTACAGAACCGATACTCTTGATGATTTGCTCAAGGAAAGCGACTACACTGTTCGAAGAAGAAAGGAATGTCAACAAATGGTTGAATCACTTTCAAAGGCGAGCGAAATTGTTAGTCAAGTACAATAAAGCTACTGTCCGAATTAAATGCAGCGATCCTTCCGGGTCAAGAAAGTCCGAGGCAGGGAAGCAACCGAGGAACGTTGATTAGATACTCACCGCAAGTACTGTGTTGGCCCATTTACCTTAGACTCGTTTTTTTTCTATCTCACAACCACATACGATACCTACTTTTCTTTTGCGTGGAGCATAATGATGTGTGGAATACATGGACGCGGTGGTGGACATGAATGGGAAAGATCGTACCGAGAATACACCGATTCAAGAATATCTTGGTTTGGAAGCATAAGGCGAATGAATGAATGGCAAGCTTGACTTTAATGTTGTTTACAGCGAAATGGTTGTAACTCTTTAGTTCTTTTTCTTCAATCTTTTCCCGCCTCGTTCATTGGTGCCTACAGCTAGTTTCAGGGACATAACTTAGTATCTAGATAGTTGCCCCATTTGCAAAGAAAGAGAGAATTAATTCCTACCAACGATTTTTGCGCAATGAAAGTGGGACATTACACAACATGACGTGCTCGCGCTACCACCCCGGCGGAATCGTACACAATCGTAAGATTTGCTCGTATCGAGTGTTGGTGTTTCATCAACTTCCCTTCCGCAAGACATAGCTGCTAATAATTGGTTGGATGTAACGCGAAGCTCGAATAACGTTTCTTTGCCTTGCTTTGCCTGGGGTTGTTTCTCCTTCGAAATGAAGCCAATATGCGGGGAAATGGGGACCATGACCGATTCGAGAAAATGAAAGGAGGTCGCACCCGCGGTATCGGGAGAATTTCCAGATCGTACACAAGATCTCTTGAGAATACAAACGGGAAGCGGAGACACGGGAATGCTTTGGAGATGCTTGTTTCTTTGGTGTGAGGTGGGAGTGTCTCGGTTGATCGGTGAGGGTGAGGGACACATGTAGGGGGAGAGAGAGAGAGAGTGTGTGTGTGTGTGTGTGTGTGTTCTCTTTTTGAGAAGATGTGGTACTGACGGACTTCATGTCCGGGTCCTTGGAATGGTGGAGAATGGGTGGCAGGACGAGTGGAGTGCACGAGTGTACGAGTACCGTGCTGGTGGTATTGCGATGTGGAGAACGTTGGTTTGGTACTTCGTGAGGCTTTTAAGTGTTTGTACAGTACGTACGAAGGGTCGAGAAAAGAAAGTGTTTGCTTGTGCGAGAAGATGAGAGAAGTGCAATGCTTGCAGATAGATACATCAGGGGTGCAACGTGCCGAGGGAGATGAGCCATACTGTTGCTGGTAGGTGGAAAAGTGGCGAGGGAGGTTATGCAGACATACTGAGTATTCATGCAATGCGAAGCGATGACTCTTCCCCGATATCGCTTACTTCTCTTCCATCCATCCTATCCGCGGTGAAGGGATCCAAACGATGAGATTGGCGAAATGTGATTTGTCGCATTTTCGAATGTTTGCTTCTGGAACGCGTGGAAATTTCTCTGGTGTCCGCTTCCCGGGTGATGGATTGTTGTTGTTGTAGTTGTTGTTCTTTTTTCGTTTTCTTGCGGTGTGTTGTTATTGCGAGCGTTCTGTGTGTGTATCCCCACGATTTGGAAGGCTTCGTTCAACGAGTATCTATCTATTGGAAATGAGTTCTGGAAAACAGGACGAGAGCCAAGACCAAATGAATGTCACTGCCCTCTCGAGGCTTCCAAGAGCCGTCGGGAGTACGGTTGTATGGAGGGTCTAGACAGGGCTTCAGTGTGACAAAAGCACGTAGAAGCATTTTGCGGGTATCGAAGGCGCCTATGGAACATTTGAAAATTTTACGATAGATCTAGAAGATAGGAGGAACAGCACAGGGTATTTAAATACAATAGAAGGTCGGCAAAGAAAGTGGTTTCTTGACCCAAGTGCTTTTTAGAGACTTTCAGCTTCCATCTAGGTAATTCTCCGAAAGTGGCTTGTTTGCCTAGATTTACTTTTTTTTGAGCATCATATTTCTTCTTACGGGAGATTACCGACCCTATCCATATCTAGTCTCGGAGTTAATGATAAATTCAATTCTAATTTCTATACATTTTCCATAATCTTTCTTTCGGATCAGATAAGAAAGATGGCTATTGCTCAAGCAAATCTTTCCTCTTCGCGTCTTCAGCAGCGTCAGCGTAAAGCTGCTCCTCCAGCTCTATCACTTGGAGCTCTGCAAGTTCGAGCACCCCACCGACGAGTATATCATTATCAAAAAGTCGAATTTGTCTCGGCATCAAATATGTCAAGAGATGATCCGCCATCTCCTCCTCCAAATCCACCTCCAAGTCCGTCGATGCTTATTGAGCTAGATGATGATGATTTCAAGATTTGAGTTGTAAGTCTATTTCATAATGACTCATTTTAACACGGGACTAATCTTTGTTAAAGGTGGTTCTGCGTTCGAACCCTAAGCTGGAGTTTGGTCGAGCTACAAATTTTCTGCATTCGCTTGGGGGCATATCATCGGTGGTCGGGGTATGGAAACGGAGTTGGTATAGGAATGGCAGGCGGGGACGGCTCGAGGTTCTGGTCCTGGTTCTGGTCCTGGATATTGGAGTATAGACATTTGTTCGGGGCGTTTTAGAGATTATAACGGAGAGAGGGTAAATGGATAAGAGAGTGGAGGTGTTCGAAATGGGATATAATGGTGGATCATAATTTCGAATGTTTCTTCCTAATCAAACCACCATTTTCTACATCATAGTCTTCCCCTCTTTTCCATCCTAGCCATTGCTCGAGTGCTGTCTCTCCACTTTGTCCAGGATATAATGGCTTGCCGGTGTAACTTCCCCCTTCAACGCCAGGTCCTTGGCCAATCGATGGGTCCTGACTATTATGTTTGGATATTGCGAGAGAAGGTGTATCTCTGAGTGTAACAATTGGCCTTTGATCACCTTCTCTGGCAGGATCGTGTTCGAGTTCATCGTAATCGAGAACGGGTGTACAACAAGCATCAGTTCCATCAAAAATAGTTTCCCACTCAGATCTCGTTTTGGCCTTGAATAATCTAGTGAAAGTTTCCCTCATTTCTGGCCATGTACTTCTATCCATTCTCGTTTCTTTGATATTAGTTTCTCCCAATCCTAGCCCCTTAACCAACTCTTTGAAAAATTGTGGTTCCAGAGCACCCACCGCCATGTATTTCCCATCCTTTGTTTCATAGGTATCATAGTACGGGCTTCCCGAATCCAATGTGTTCTCTCCTCTCGGTTTATTCCACATAGGAGTCTTCATCAATAATCTCGGAAAAGTTACAAGATATGCTGTTCCATCGACCATATTCGCTTCTACAACTTGCCCCTTTCCGCTCTTCTCTCGCGCTAGCAAGGCGAGTAAAATTCCCTGAAACAACGTAGCTCCACCTCCCGCAAAATCCCCAAGTATATTCGCCGGTGGTAATGGCTTCTCGTTCTTTCGCCCAAGCAGCGATAATGCCCCTGAAACTGCTATGTAGTTGATATCGTGCCCGGCCATGTCTTTGTACTTCCCATCACGGCGAAACCCAGTCATTCGGGCAAGGATGATGCGAGGATTGAGTTTGAGGAGAACATCTGGTGAGAGTCCCAATTTTTCCAAAACCCCGGGGCGGAATGGATCGATTATGATATCAGCATGCGCAACGAGAGACTTGACGAAGGATACTCCAGCATTTGCTTTGAGGTCGACTGCAATGGAGGATTTATGTCGGGTAAGGAGATCGGGGGTTGGTGGAGGAATTGAGGAAGAATGGGTAAGATTAGGAACTGCACGATCGATGCGTAGGACTGATGCTCCATAATCTGCTAGGAGAAGTCCCGCGAAAGGTCCTACAATCGATGTTAATGGGAATGCAATGAAATCTGGGTCAATGCGGGGGTGTTCACCTGGAGCTAGGCCTGCGAATTCGAGAACGCGAACGCCTGTCAATGGTGGTGCTCCTGTCATTATCGCTATTGTGAGATACCAATATCCTAATTGACTTACTTATTCGGGATGGTAATGCCCATCGTCTCAATATTATTTCGATTCCAGATTATACTGTTATTGTGGTGGTTGTATGCTCGACCCCTGAACCGAGGTTCAATCGGGCTTATCAGCATCTGCCAATCATTCATTCCACGGCAGTTTTTGAATCAACACGAATCAACAACTCAAGGAGTACGATACACGGCGAAGAATTGGAATAGCACCAAACTCTTGCATCAAATCTCACGAAATTAGAAAACAACATTGGAAAGTTTCCTGATGTTTACAATGGTTGCGGTTATAAGGGCGACAGTCTCCCCTACTCGGTGCCAAAGTAATTATTGTGTACCCCTCAACACACTCCTGCCATAGTGACGTTTCATAATTTTGAGAATGTTAATCTATCTCAGTAGATATATGTTTCCAGATTTCTCTTAATACCGTTATAGTAATTGACTATCAGTTGTCTGATGTGTACAGCGCAACATGACCTTACCCATGTCAGCGATCTCGGGAATTAGACGCGCCCGAAATCTTCTCGGGTCCGTCACGGTAGCATCAATGAGCCTTGCACCAGGCGGATCTTCTAGTGGGAAGATTTCAGCTATTAAATTTCTCAGACGGGACCGATTGAATGGCTCGTATAGTCCGAAGCTTCTTAAGCCATACTGTATGGGTAGATATTCATATAAGGCTGTGGACGAGATCGTATCAGGTTAAATACGAGCCTGGTTAATGAGCATATATAAGTCAACCAAAGTACTAAATCTATATCATTTTGTCAAACCAGTCAAAGACGATCAAAACAGCTCGAGATAGATACATACTTCAGAACCTTAAATCATCCACCCATGCTTCCAAGAATATCCATTATTGGCGCAGGGCCATCCGGCCTGGTCCTAGCCTCTCTCTTCCACCGCAGTAAAATACCCTTCACCATCTACGACCTCAGATCTCGTCCCTCTCCAGGTCTTGTTAATATCCCATCTGGCTCTCTAGATCTTCACGTCGAATCAGGACAACGCGCACTCGCAGAATGTGGGCTTCTCCACGCATTCCGCTCACTCACCGTAGAATGCAGCGAAGAACACATCATCTGTGATCGTTTTGGAGATATTAAATTCGAGGCACCCAATCACAATGAAGAGCGACCTGAAATCTCAAGAAATAGTTTGATCGAGTTGCTTTTGTCTTCGCTGCCCGAAAATATCATTCAATGGGAACGCAAAATCCAATCCGTTTCTCCAAATCCTTCAAATCCCCACCAACAAATCATCACGTTCCAAAATGGGAAGTCTCATTCTTGTGATTTGGTAATTGGAGCAGATGGAGCATGGTCAAAAGTTCGCCCACTCTTGACGGACGTGAAACCATATTTTAGTGGTGTGCATTGGATGACGTTGACGATTCCAAATATCACCCAGAGGTTTCCAGAAATAGCTAAGATGATTGGAACTGGAACTTTCTGGGCGCTGGGTGGAAAGAGATTCGTTTTAAGTCAGAGAGGCTCGATGGATTCAGCAAGGGTGTATGTTGCGATACATAACAAGGACATCAACTATTGCAATGATGCAGGCTTAAATTCTTTAGACCTTGAGCAAATAAAAGAGAAAAATCTTGGAGAATCTGGTATCTTTGCCGATTTTGGCAAAGGGGTCAAGGAGTTGCTAGAAAAAGGGTTGGAGGAGGAGAAAACCCCACAGTTTCTGCAGATGCATATGTTACCTACCGATCACACGTGGGAGCATAAAGCCAACGCGACATTGGTTGGAGATGCAGCACATCTCATGACGCCATTTGCAGGAGAGGGTGTCAATTCGGCAATGTTAGATGCTTTAGAGTTGGCGCAAGGAATTATTGCGGCCGTAAACAAGGATACTTCGATCTCGGATGCTGTGAGAGAGTATGAGAAGAAGATGTTTGTCAGGGCGAAAGAGAATGCTGAAGATACATGGACTAATATGGAGAAAATCTTTGAGGATAGTGCACCGAAGGCGATAGTGGAGTGGTTCAACAGTTTTAGTGCTCCGCCCGGCCAACGTTGAATAGGTAGATACTGTATTGATGGTACTTAGCATGGAATATCAAAGAATTATTTATTTTAGCTTGAAGGCGTCAAGTTCAGACACTCAAGGAGATACGCACTCAACTCATTTAGAGGGTTGGAAGTTTATGCAATGATAATAACTTAAGTACTCTAACAAGAAGGAGCCTTGAAAGTGACAAATGATATAGCATTCCTGACAAATATCATAATAGCTGACCAAGAATTGACCATTTGATTATTTCGGGAATGATTAATAGCGAAACTAGTGCATTGATCAAGGAACCGGATTTCCAAGCTTGAGATAAACTCTTCGTAATAAATTAAATAGCGCTTGATAGATGGCAATTACAATCGTCTAATTAAAAGGAGAAGTTTGATGATGAAATGATTGTGTGAAGTAACATGGAGTCTGTGGGAGAAATTGGGGAGATGGAGACAACAGGATACAACGATGAGGGAGAAAATGTAATTAGAAGATCAGTAGCCCACATAATGATAGAGTTCAACAAAGCAAGGACAAAACAGAATCTAATTTGAATTATCAGCCACGTATTCACTGATTTTCTGAAACTACAACTCTTGCACATGCTCTATAGACTCGACATAAGACTTCCATGTGTTTTCACTAATCTTTTATTACATTGTTCCTATTGAGCCATTGCTACCCTTCTCATCCTCGCTTATATTCTATCTCTGGCTACAGCCTTCATATTCCGGATTCCTGTCCTCCTATTGACAGATTACCATGCTAGCGACCAAAATTTGAAATACACACTCTAATATCCATGATTTGACTCATTGATCCGTTCAAGTCTTCTCAACGCTTCGATTAAAAGTAGTGCGATTGACCAAACATATCGCCACGACCATTCGTCGACGGGAAAAAATTGTGAGAAAAAAAGTTAGCATATAATTCAAAAAAATACGAAAAAAGCGCAAAACTTACCAAAAGTTCAAGAGTGGTGAGTGGGGTTGATCCGTTAGCCCCTCACTTGAGGGTTTCCAGCCAGAACGACGAGGGCGTGGATCATTTCTGGCCACCTAGATTAGTAGTTAGTGAGGGGGAGGGGGGGGGTACTTGCTTTTTTGTCCAAGGGTCCAGGTGTCCAGGGGTGATTCATGTGTGTGTCTTTTCATTTCTTTTCAGTCAAAAAATCCGGGATGCTGGGGTTAGTGGTTAGTGGTTAGTTGGCTTGTTAGTTCACTGTATAGGGGAGGGGGGAGTGGTTAGTGGTTAGCTCGCATGTTAGTTCACTTGCATAGGGGGAGGGAGGGGGGATGGGGTGATATATTTTACCATTTCCAAAGGATCTTTGGAAGGATGATTGCGGCTGCAACAAGGGTCCATTTGGTGACCGTTTTAATGGTCGAGGCATTCCGGGATATCCAGGATTGCACTGGGGCAATGGTCCATGGGGTGGCTTCTGGCTCCGGTGTATCCAAGGGGTCGTCGTCTAGGGAGGAGGGATAATCCGCGGTGGTGTCCGATTCATCCTCGGATGAGAATGAGGATGAGGATGAGAGTGGGCGTGCATCGTGGAACCTGTTAAAGTTTCTCCTGGGAATGGGTTGGGGACTGGGGGAGGGAATGGGCTCCGGGGATGGGACGGGCTCCGGTAGTGGAATGGGCTCCGGGGATGGGATGGGCTCCGGTGATGGGCTGGGCTCTCGGGATATGCAGAAGGGGTCTGACAAAGAAGATTGAGCGACCATTTCACAACCAGAGTCTGATGTTGCCACCGGACTTTGACTCAAAGGTCGAACTGGCGTGATGATATGGGCTCGGGCTTCGAGGACTTGCTCTTCAAGGATCATTTCTGACCACCGCTGGGTAAAAGTCTTGGGTTTAGCTCGGCTGAAACAGCGAGGCTGCTGCAGATATAGCTGGGTGAAAGTTTTGGGTCTGGCTAACCTGAACAAGCGGGGCTGCAAGTGTACTACAGGTAGCTGGAGGGGAGGGGAAGAAGGAGAAGGAGAAGGAGAAGGAGAAGGAGAAGGAGAAGGAGAAGGAGAAGGAGAAGGAGAAGGAGAAGGAGAAGGAGAAGGAGAAGGAGAAGGAGAAGGGGAATTTGAACCATCTTCTGCTAAGACAGAAGAGGAACAGGAATGGCCATTGAAGGGGTCCAAGGAAATGGAGACAGTGTGGTGGGCCGAAAAGGAATCCTTGGAAGATGGGGTGGTGCCTGGGCTAGGGGTGGCCTCACGGAATACATACCTTGTTTTGGGGGGAGGGGTAGAGATTCCAGATCCGGAGGGAAGGGCAATGGGGTGATCCAAGAAGGGATCCAATGGATCGTCAGCGACGAAGGGCCTGGGAGAAGGGGCCTTGGCAATGGGGTAATCCAGGGAGTCCGATGTATCGTCAGTGACGAAAGGCCTGGGAGGAGGGGCCTTGACATCAAGTAAACGGCCTACATTGATGCAAGGGGAGCCGGTGGGGAAGTAATCGCTGGATCCGGTGCTGAAGTTAGAGGATGTATGTTCCTCCTGGATGGAGTCAGAATACATCGTGGGGGACCTGTAGCGCTTGGAGGCCATGGGATGGGGTTTGATCTCAAGAGCCGACCAATCGATCGACTCGTAAGATCCACAGGAGTCTGAATAATAAGAAGATGAAGATGCAGAAGAAGAAGAAGAAATCAAACGCAATGACAAAGGAGAAATTTTTTTGGTTTTTTTGGCCTGCGTAGAGGCTGAAGTTGTGGAAGAAGATAGGTTTCCAGGCCTGTTAGATGGTGGATGGATGTTTGAAGGATCCAAAGAGGGTTCCATTTGTTGGTCACACACGTATGGGACGTGGAGAGGATGGATGGATGGGGGATGGAGAGAGTTAGAGGTTTGTGGAACTTGATATCCACGACCGCGAGGGGCCGACGTGTTTGTAGAGTTGGAACTGGCAGCCCCAGGAGCACTGCCAGTGGAAGAAGAAGAGTGAAAGCGAGACATTGTAAATGTGTGAGCTTGGAGTGAGCAGTGAGTATGTGAAAGTGGTAGGAAGAAGAAAGAGAAAAAGAAAATCGAGGAATAGAAATTGAAACGAAAGATATATCAATTCTCTGACGCGTCTTCACAAGTGCGAAAATTAGCGTATTTTTTTAAACGAGAATTTGTCACTTAGTCCCTAAAAGCGTCTCTTTAGACTTCGTCTGTCATTTAACCGAGAGGGGAAAACCAGTAATATAGCAAAATGTAAACCCTATATGCCCTAACAGAAGATTTCGCCGATAGCAACACGCGACGCGTAGATATGAATTCCATTGTCATGGAAAGAAGGGAAGGAGCGATAGATATATGCCACAGGAAGTTATACGATACGGCCTATCAAACTCGAGATGTAATAAATAAAGCTAACCACACTAGTCAAATCATTCAAATCACCTGATAGTTATGAAGATAAACCGGTATAAGGGTTGGGAGGTCTGTGCTAGTCTCTATAGATAACACCCTTATCTAACAGTTCAGGTGCCTAACGAGGAAGGAGTTATGGTTGAAAGAATGAGCATGTAACAAGGCCATTGCAGTACATGAATCCATCTAACAACAATTGAAAAGATACATTTAAAAGATGCGCAAGGCAGTTGATGTCACCTTTGACTAAGAGGCAATGTATCTTCAAATTCCAGAGCTTACTTCGATCAGTGCGCTTTCTGCAATTTTACCATGCGAGACAGCTTCTACAGAACCAAAAAACCACATAACTTGATATCGAGCTTTACGGGCAACTTTCCCAAATATGGCAGATGCTAAAAGAAACACACCTGCATGTTCTCTAGCTGCTCGACCCATGCCCGAGAACTCCTTGTGCCATCTTCGCTACGGTCTCGACATTGAAGGGCAATATGTTTTCCCAATGACGAAAATCGAAAACGATCATTAATTACGGGAGCGAAAAAAAATATCGGATAACAAAGGGGTATTTCGCCACCAGTTATGAGGTCTGGAGTTTTCGAGAGAAGATGAAACCCACGCTCATGATTACGACTTCGAAACCAGAGGCAATCTACCATTTGGCTTCACAGCAGATGTTACAGAGCTGAGAACGAGTTGTATGGTATCAAAATGAAGACATGATGCTTTATGCGAGGGAAGAGATGTCGTCTTCATGACAGCGGGTAAAAGTGGAGCAAATATTTAGAGGCTAAACTATTTACAGCACACGCAAAGATTTTCGAAGCACGACATCCGTACATCTGCGCTGTCTGTCAGAACACATTTTGGGGGATCGGATATCGTGGCAGAGCCTCTGGCTACGTCTCCAAGCTCCTTGGGTAAAAGTGAGACTTCTCACGATACTACCACATACGATATTGCGAATCTGCGGTCCTTCAAACAGATAAGAGAAGATCACAAGGAGGGGACTAACGTAAGGCCGCGGAAATGAATGTGGAGACACCACCTGCAACTCTACACCTATTTTCCCATCTCGTGAACAAATCTCTTGGGATGTTGACGAACTGCAGCGGTAACAATCCTTGGAGACAACACCTTTAATACACTTCTTGTGCAAAGGTCAGTTTGCCACCCAAATAAGCGGAGCCCAACACACTTGCAAGACGTCTGCAGCACGAAGAGAATAGAAAAGCATTGGAGCAAGAGTCGTGTCTGTTTGAACGATAACATAAATGTTTCACGATGGGGAACTTAGGAAAGTGGGTGGGGCGGTCTTCAAAAAATGACCCCACCCACAGCACCATTCCCAAGATCGACAGCTCGCTGACATCATCACTATTGCATCTTGCCCTAGTCATACTACCTATATATACATAAGAGACGAAATTTGTGAGAAGGCGCAGAAGGGCAGCGATAACAGAAATAATTTGGAGATGCCCGTTTGGTGGCTCGAACTTCCAATTTTGAGAACGCTTGAGGAATTTTGTGTTGTAGTTTAGTGGGTAGTTTCATATCAATATAAATCTTAGCCGTTAGTTGCATTAGAAAATACGCTCAAAGTAGAGAGTGAAAATGAAGGAAATGGTATATTAATCAACTACCTACCCATCAACCCTTTCGAGGAGAGCTGCAAAACAACCCACGCGAGCAATTATTCAATCAACCATCCCAGAACACCAGTCAGAGTCCGTGTAACTCCTCGAAACAGTCATGCAAATGTTTCATCTCAATGTTCTTCTTAACACTCGCTGGCCGCTTCTGACCCATGAACATCATCTGTTCAAGGCTGTTCCATCTTTTTTCGGCCGCTAGTTCCTTCCTTTCCTCTCTCTTTCCATGCTCCCTTTATAAATAGTCTCTGGATTCTCTCCTCTATTAGCTTAATTTCCTGCTTCGCTTTTCTCATCTATCTTCACTAGCTGCCGCCTGCGGAGAGGGCTGTAATCTCGCTTTTCCTTGCTGTTATATGACTCATGCACTCCACCGCGTTGGCTGCTGTCCCTTTTGCCTTTGCCTTTACTTCCGTTTTTGCTTTGTGGGTACGGGTGCTGGTGCTGGTGTTGGTGCTTGACCTTGCGAGGTAGGTTCTGCTTCTGCTCTCTCATCGATATTGGCATGATGACCACTTGGAGGACTTCCAGAAACTGTCAGCCTATTCGTCTTGAATGACACCCCTAAGAATAATTACTCACAGAGCTGGTTTGTTGCCAGCGACACTGGGCAAGGAAGAGGCTCGACCTGACATTACTTTTTCGAAAATTGAGCTATCGGTCGTGACAGTGCTGTTTTATTAGGCGAGAGTATTGGAAACCATTTAAATTGAGGGAATAATGGAACGCTCAGTGAGAGAAATAGCGGCAAATCGAAAGGACAAAGGGAATTTTATAGCTTCCCTGAATGTTCAGCTAGTTTCTTTTAGACAACAAAGCTCTAAAATCCATGGTCGAATTCCCAGTTAGTAGAAACATAATAAGCGAGAGGATTGTATTGCGAGAAGTATGCAGAATGATGATCCAGAGTGAAATAATACTGGAAGACATGGGGACTTTCGCATGGGAAAATCAGCAATATTATTGAGTAACTACAGAGCTCATTTATTATATAGTTAAGACATTATATGAAAAGCGACTAGCTATATACATAGGAGAGTTCTAAGAAATCAAGAACTGAAAAGAGAGATAAAGATTAAATCAGTGTAGGTCATGGATAAAGCCTCACAACCCATCTGACGCTGGTGGTCCTTTGTATACTATGCTTCGTTAGTAAATGTCAGGCTCGAATCACAAGGCAAAACTCACCTTTTCTAGCGTAAGCAGCATACCAAACTGCCGCTATTGCCATGAATCCCACTAATACTACGCTTGCATAATTCATCGACACCTTTGTAACAGGTAATGCCGTGGGCATACTGAACAAGACCACCTCAAAGGTAATCCATACCAAGGCTACCACATTTACGGTTGTTCCGACCATATGCCCACAATTCCACCGTGCGTGAGATACTTCTCGTCTTTTATTCCATAGTAATGATAAGCCAATTGGGATAGCATAAGAAAGTGAAAGTGCTATAACGCCTACTGAAACAAAAGCAGTAAAGGCACTGCTGCTGCCGAGGTTGATAAGACCCAAGAGCATTTGAACAATAGTGACGAATATGAGAGCATTTACCGGTACGCCTAAAGACTTGTTGACAATTGAGAAAATCTTAGAGCCGGGGATTGCCTGGTCGCGAGCGAATGCCCAGGTGCAGCGTGACGCGGCAGTTGTGATGCTAATTGAGCAGAACATAGTGATACCAAGTACCAAAAATGTAAGACCTAGACCACCTCCGGGAGAGCCCATGACCCTGTGAAAGATGTACGGGATTGCTTGACCATTGGGTGCACCAATTACGTCAGCGAGCGGTGGCATCGTCACACAGATCGGGATGATAAAGAACAGACCAGCTATTCCACCAACCGGCACACATAGTGCTATTGCTTTTGGGACTTTGATTGTGGGGTTGGAAACCTCTTCTGCCATTGAGGAGATCATGCCAATTGCAGAGAAGGTATACGCGGCTGGTAGAAGACCGATGAAGAAAGTGAAACCTCCCCATCCAGCGAAAGAGGTATCGTAATTTCCAAGAGAATAGCTAGCACTATGTCGACCTTCCTTAGCTGAGACTGAAAGAGCGATGAGAATGATGAGGATACTAATCGCTGTCCAAGCTGCGCATATCGTATCAACCATAGGTAGGAATCGGTTGCCAAATGTGCATATTACTAATGTGATGAGACAAATGGCATAGAAGATGAGGGTAAGCTGCCAGCTAGATGCAACAAAGTCTGGATGATACATGGCAACAGTTGCAGATATCAGCGACGCAAATCCGAAGTTGACGGATAACGTTATTGTCCAGTTTCCAATGAGCCATACCCAGCCTGTGATGAATGAGAGTATAGTCTTGTGTCTCTTTGCTACCTACAATCATCAAGAATCAGCCATGGTCAAGAATTATGTTTCCATCTTCTATCAGTAAATCTTTGGTAGATATCACTTCATCAACGTCCACAAAATCAGATTGGAGGATCAAGAATAATCAAACACTTCCTCACCTGGAAAGACCAATAATAAGGTCCAGCCGAGGTTGGATACCTCGAGGCAAGTTCACTCAATGATAAAGCCACACATTCATCTAGAATAAGAACCACGATCCAGCCAACAAATATGGAAAGCTGACCTCCTCCATATATAGCACTGATCAGCGGCCCGCCTTCTCCATAAGGTATTGCGGCAATTGCAAGCGATTGAAAAAGAAGAGTAAACAACGATCGATTTCGTTGAAGCTCTTCAGTATATCCAAGAGCTTCGAGATTATCCAACTCATTTGAGTCCGGTGGAGAAGTTGTCGAAGAGGTTTTCTTTTCCTCGTCAATCATTGTCGTATTCATTGTCGCGGGAGGTACTTAGAACCCTCAGTACCTGATATTTCTAGGTCAAGAGATTCACGGTCTAGTATAAAATACGAAAGAGTGACGGGATCTTGTTAAGATGGGTTCATGCGCGATATATAAATTCTCCGTCGAGGGCTCCGTAATTGATTGGGAGACATCTGCGGGGGTTATGAGACATAGGGACGACTATACCAAGCACCCGGTATGACCAGCCTTTAGGATAAGTTAGAACCAATGCAGAAGCAATTTCCTGCATTTATTGTACCTTTCTGAGGTAGGCGATAGTGATTCTATGCTGGAATTTTATTGGGCCTGTATGGTTATCATGATGTGATAAGGTTTATCTCCAAGGATGGATTCGATTACACACGAATTCAAGATAGGTAATCTCTTGGTAGATATTCATGCCGCGTGGAATGCGTAGGAATGCCATTAATGTAGTATGATCAAATTGTACTCTGTATATAGTAGCCAGGTCGAATCATGAGAAAGAAGCGGTGGCGACAGTCCTGAACTACCTTGAGTCAAACTTTCTGTCAAGACAAGTCCTCTCCTGTCTCCTCAGCCCTTTTCGTCGAGTCATTTTATGCCGGTTAAACCTTCTCGTGAAGATAATCAATTGGATGTACAAGTACCGCACCCTAATCCACAGATCCTGGCAGGTTAATGGTGGAAAACCGAACTGTTTCTGGCAACGCGGGGAACTTTATATCTTCAGCTGCGAATTGGGTCCGAGCGTAGGGTAGATCAAGGACATGATAGCAAGCGGTTGAGACAAGAGCTGAAGAAATCCTGCGCTCACCAAAAGCAATTAACCAACTTGAATAGAATTATTGATTGGCGGCTTATAATTGATTCTGTGTTTGAGCTTTATTCTGTTTGAAACGGACTGCGGTTATCTATTGTATACAAACAAGCATGCTCTCAAATTATGATGATTTGGTGTGCACAGAAAACCCGTGCAGCTCGAGATTAGGAAGATAGGTAATTGGAGAGAGAGAGAGAAATGACATGCATTACAGAGATGGTCTGGCCTAGGCTAGCAAGGGATGACATCAATATCGCAGGAAAACTAAAAAGCATGCACACGAGTAATACACATTGGAATTAATCACGTGGATAACACGTGTCGTCGTGGCAATCGACAACATCATCAGGCTAAATCAGCGCTCAACTGAATCAAAAGGATCCTCAATATATCCGATCTTCTTGTGGACGGTTAAATCCGAGAACTGAAAAGCCGAACACTGAAAACAAAAAGAGAGTTCTCGAAATTTGCCCATTACGCCATCGCTCGCATAATCTCTCGCTTGGCGTCAGCTTCAACCTATATGGTGCGGTTAGTCGAGCATTTACTTTATGCTCAGAAGTATTATTGGCAGGATTTGGACTTGTGCAAACAGACCGATTGTGTTTACTCCAAGATATTACGTGAAAGATTAAGCGTGCATGTACCGATGTTACACAGCGATACAGTCGATTGACGAGAGTCTATCAATCATGCTGCAGTTGTTCAAGTGGCCGACAATTGCCTTTCAATTGCAAGCATTGAAGGTAAAAAATAACTAAACAGGGTGGTAAGTCTCTTAGATGTTGAAATGAAGAGCGCTGCGAGTTGATATTGAGGCTGGTGTCATTAAACTGAGCGAGAGCAGCAGTAATACTTAGACTATCATGGAGTGAAATGTACCAACAATCAAAATAGGGGGGGAAATCAGGCAACGAGTATTATGATAACTTACTCAAACTAGGTACCTAGGTACCCTATCAATAATATGTCAGATGACTAATCATCGCTTACCACTCGAACCCTCATTCTCCCCTTAAGTAATTCCCTATCTATCAATCTACAAAGTCACGGGAATCTTATATTAGCGAGACAGAATTATAATGATATATATGTGGTATTTCTATTTCGATTAAATTATCTAATGCTTCGGTCCACAGTTCAGTAATAGAAGTAAAGTTAAAGTTCCCACATTCGCTGCAATAACTCCTATATACATTGAATGACTATTCCAGAAGCCAGTTTATACGCCTAAGCACCTAGATAAATATGAAAATCGAAATACCATCTCAACTGATTGTGCAGTTGAAAAAAACCATGCAAAAACAAAGAAAACGAAGGAATGTCCCGTAGACCCAGTTCCCAAACTCCAATTCGAGCTGCAATTCACCCCCTAATATCGAGACCATGTAAGCGAGGTCGAAGATTCGAGAGAGGAAAAGAGAATTGAGTTTGGTATCTGACATTCAACATCCAGCCAAAGAAAGTAAAGAAAAGATCGACATCGAGATCGATGTTCGAAAAAAATGAATGGATGCGTTTAAAGGACCGCCGTCAAAACCATGCAAGGATAATAAAACTAGAAAATGTAGAAAAAGAAATTGTTGTAAATGAATGTAACCGAGTCCTTATTGAAGTGGCATTGTGGTGGAAGAGAACTGGTGCGTGTTAAGAAAGTATCGAAGAAAAAAATTGTTGTAAAGAAATCGAGCTGAAAAAAACCATCCGGTTGACATAGGAAACGGGAAGAGAACGAGGTAAGTTGTTGGTACTGGGGTTGATCGGTTGTTTGAATCGCGACTGGATAGCAACTTAGATAGCCAGTGTAACTCGAATTTGGGGAATGCGCATGACGGTGCAGATCATATTCGAAAGATGACTGTGGGCTGAAGGTAAAACCAGGTATCGAAAAGTCAACGATCGAGTATGTTGATGAAACCCCGGCTTTTATCTCTCTTCGTTGCCGCGAACACGGCTACCATCTTTCATGACAACCCAGTCGATGTCAGGAATCTGATCTATCTTTCTATGATAGAGATTTAATCTACTGACGTGATGCCCCAGTGTCCAAAATCCTTCGAGCCTTTGTCTACCACATCCTTGATCTTTATTCGGGTTCGTGAAGTCGAGGGACTTGAAGGGGTTTTTCTCTGCGGCTTCACATGTTATTGTGTTTGATTTATTCCAGTGGTTGCACTATATGAAGAGTGTTAGAAATATTTATTGAGCAGGAAAGGAGGAAAAGAAGATACGAACACTAAACATATTTAGGGAACCTGGTAATGGTAGTTCGCATTGCCAACGTCCTCCCGCTTGCTCCGCAGTTGGATTTGATGCAAGATTGGAGGACCGATCAAGTGGTCGATCTGGATTCCGTCCACTGTTGGCACTTGACTCTCCACCTCCTCTATTTCCCCTGGTATTTCCGGTCGTGGAACTACTTCCTCGTGATACCTGTCCTTTTCCCTTTCTGGTAGTATTTCCGGAAAGTGGATCCATGGTGTGCAGTATATCCTTCAATTATCGTAAGAAGAAAAAAGAATATCGAAGCTTGTTGAGATTTGTTGAATATTTGTGAGATCTGGAAATGCGTAGGGCTATCAAAAAGAAATTGTGATTCTTGAAAATCTTTTATTATGCGAAGTTTGATCGAAATGGTCTTGATGCTCCAAAGAAAAGTCTACGAAACGAGGGGGGTATCGAAACTATTTATGTCTTTTCTGATCGCTCCAAGAGCTCTCAAAATGCATACGCATGAGTGTATAATATAGTATTTGTATGAGTGAGAAGCCATTTTGAGGTGGTTATGACTGGAATTGCGCGAGAAAAACGTGGAAAACATTGGATGGAGAGAAATATAAAGCGCTGATCGCTTTATGAGCTGCCAAAATTCATAGACGTGAGTATTAAATATAGTACATATTTGTATGAGTGAGAAGTCATTTTGAGGGATTTATGACTGGGATTGCCCGAGAAAAACGTGGAAAACATGGGATGGGAAGATGTATCAAGCGCCTCGAATGATTCCGAGTATTCATAACAGTCATTTATAATTCTCGATGACGGTTTCTGGCCAAAAAATGTATGAGAATCTTGGCCTTGCTATCTATATATAGTATGCCAAATGATTCTATATCCCTGGTGACGATTTATAGTCAAAAACGATGCAAAAGCCATGTGTTTACCACTCGCCAATAGTATCTCGAATGATTCTGAGTACCTACGTATAACAGTTATTTATAATCCTCGATGACGAGTTCTAGCCCAGGAAATTATGTGATAAAACAAATCGACTTTGCCATTTATGTACCTCAATAACAAGTTCCAACCCCAAAAAGTCCAAGAGACATCAGTTCATCACTCACAAACACCCTCTTGAACAATTCCTCCTTCCACATACCAATCACCCCAAACCCTCTACAAATAATCCTCCTACCAAGATTCAAACCCACAATCTAGAAATTCATAAACTCTGAGCAACTCTTCTACCAACCAAAATCCAATATTTCTCTCAAGACAATTTTCAAAGACATACATAACCCTCAGAACCTCCATCGTATACCCAAATCCCAATCCACAACTCCGAGGAATCAATCAAATACAAGAAGAAGCCTAATTTGAAACGTAAAACGGCGTTGTTCCGATATACCAAGATCCCATAGCTTCGGTGACTGAATACGAAAAGGATTTTGGGGAAAGGCATGTAAGAGAATATATCGTACATGGTTCCTAGAACCTGTATTATATTCCAAATTTCAATTTCAATTTAAATCCCAATCCCAAATTTCATTTTCAATCTCAAGTCTATACCACTACATTTCAAACATAAAATAAAACAAAAGTCCAATCATCCTCTCTACTTCTTTACCTCTTAAATGTCAACAAACTACTCTCAATCCCAACTCCAACCCCAATCCCCCCCCAAAACGAAAATCTATCAAAACCCATAAGCCCAAGATACACACATACACACACACACACTCGTGGACACACACACACACACACCTACCAGCAACTTCCATTATATCACAAACTTCAAATTAAAACTCAAATACCCGAGTACTTAGCCAAGTAATCAATCTTATTAGGAAACTACTAATCGCATCACCTTCAAATGACAACATATTTTCTCAAAACATCGTAAGTCTGCAACTCACATACTTGTTGAATCATGTCACTGGCATGTAGAGACCGCTTTACATCGTATCCCCCACCTACGCATCAATGAAATGGTACACATGGATGCAACGAACGACAATTTCAGCATGATTTTAACAAGCATTTTAGTAGCCTTGACTATTATGCAAAAAGTAATAAAGATAGCTCATAAAATTATCAAGATTGGATCGGGCCAAGATATGGCGAAAAAAGTAGTATTTATCTCATCAATAACAAGTCCAATCCCGGACCATAGTACTGGCGCCTGATAATGCAGAATTGCTACACTCCTCCCTACCTCCCAATCTATCTACTTATCTTTTCCATTCCGAGGATGTTTTTCAGTTGGGAAAATCGATGCAATAATAATCTCAGCAGTCTTAGCTTACATCGGGAAGTCTGACTGCTATATCTCCTGATTGGGTGATGTAGCGAACCCAGGGGAGGGATGGATATTGTAACTATCGAAAATGTTAGAAAAAAAATTGGACAAAATTTGCGAAATGAGGACTAACCTTCGGCTCAATGATCTTCAGGTACCTGACTTGAATACCACTTGTCGTAAAATAAGGGATCTCAAATTTCACACTGATTGGTCTCTTTGCCCCTTTACCTCCAACACCACCCATACTTCCGCCAAATCCTCCAGTCATTCCACCTCCATGTTCATCATCACCCTTCACACTCGGCAATCCTAACTCTGCTCTCATAAGGAATTCTTTACTGCCTCCAAATTGTTTGATTTTCCATACTATCGCCGACTTTTCTGGTGCGTAATGTACGGATCCAATATTTGTGCGGAAACGTGGGGAATCGGCATCTTCTGGAACTGGAACTGTGATCTCGACGTTGTTGGCTGTGCTGCGACGTTTGAATTGCGCTTTCGCTTTCAGCATGTATTCGATTCTTGATCCAGAATGCGATTCCACGATACATTCAACCCAGATCAATGGTTTGACTTGAGTATTCAGACGGTATGACATTAATTCGAATTCTCCATCGGGTGGAATAAAGGAGATAGTTCTGTCGTTTTCGAATCGTGAAAGACGGACACATTGATGGAACTTCACATCTTCCATCTCGATCGCTTTTCCTCGAGTGGCGCGTCCCGTTGTTTCAAACATTACTTTATCGTTAAGACCTAATCGCAATTCTGGCATACCAGACAGGTAACATTTCATCTTTATGGCACCCAAAATCTCGGACCTCAATACGTTTCCATTCGACGATACCAGCAAATTGAGAGATTCAACCACATCAAGGAAAACTTCGTTCTTCCTGTACCTGATTCCTTCCGATCTCCATGATACTGCGTTCGTAACCGCTATAGGTGGACGGGCTTGAATCTCTAATTTATGTGATTCTTGTGTGATGTATTCTTGAAGGATTTTCGATTCGGTGGTTTGTGGATATCCAAAGTCCATCATTTCGTCCAAGAGTTCATAAATAATGACGAAGTTATCTCGGATGGATTCTTCTTCAAGTTCTTTGAAGTATTCGGTGAAGACTTCGACTATTTTGTGTAGAAAAAGGAGGATTTCGGCGGCATTTGTATTGCGTTTAGTGAGGGCTAGGAGGTAGAGGTTATTATGGCGGATGTATAGATACTTGGTACAAGTTAAAAGCTGCGATCGCAAATAGAAAGGGATGATGATATACATTTATTCCTTCATCTGAGAAACATGGTGGAACTGCGGAACTCTCTTCTTCGGCTTCACTCAAAAGTATTGGAAACTTTTCAACCGCGGACATGGGAATATCTCCTCTATAATTTCGGGCAAGAAGAGTCTGTAGTATTGCGTCAACGTGATTCAGAAGTAAAGTCACTACAGAAAGTATTGTTTATACCTTGCCCTTTAAATCGAGAAAGAAGACAGCAGATGCCATATTTGCCAGATAATCAAAGAAAGAAAGGGGACGGTAGTGTTGAAGGACGGAGAGTATGTGCCAAGTTGGCTTGTATTATATCTTCAAAGAATTTGTTATCATTCGTGAATTTGGTATGAATTCCTCTTGATATTTAGAATTGGAATTGATGGATTAGTTGCCTTGTAGATGTTGTTCACTTGAATAATAGTAATAATAGCCCCACGTTCAAGCTTCCCCCTTCAGATTGATAGATCTCCAGGTCCCAAACTAGTGAGGCTCGGCGGTCAACATCGGTTTCCCTTACTAAGAGCGGGACTAAACTTAAAATGGACTAGTCTGGAAACGGCAGAATCTTCGAAGCTTAAATATCTTTCACTTTGGAGAAAAACTTCTTCTTTTCTCTCCAACGCGCCCTTTTAGACAGTGCAACTCAATCACATAAATATAACTTGGATCAACATTCTGTTGATCCTCATCTTGTTTCCCATTGATGTAGTTAGCGATTTCGCGGCGCGGAGACCAATACCAACGGTACCATAAGAGCTGGCCGGGCATTGTCTTTTTGGACAACAGGTTGCCTGGGCGGCGTCAGAGGGACCATACATATGAAGATGAAGGAGAAGTGGTTGTTTTATGGCAAGATACAATACCAAATTCAAGAGCCATGATGGCGATTTCAACCATGTTCAATCGTGTTTCATTTGTGTGTGAGATATGCTGTTGATTGAAGTTATTGATGATACTTGGCTGAGTGTATTCCATGCGACATGCACATGGCAAACAACCGCAGTATGAGATGACTTGCGGAATGCGGGAAGAGTACATTCCTTTCCCCTTGTGATAATCTCATGAAACCAATGATGATATATATGCTTTGATCCAGAACGTCTTCAATGCCAATGCCATCCCGCTGAGATGATTGCCATATATTATATATATATATATATATATCAGATATATCAGATATATCAGAAAGACCATCCGGCATTCGTTTGACCTCTCAGAAAACATCAAAATTTCAGTCTTTATAGAGACACACATCAGATCAATTCCCCCACCCCACCATGAATTCGCATTTACCGAACCAGCCAAAAACAATCAAGATGGTCACATGTGAATGCTTTTTCTACGAATACCTACATCATCCCCGAACTTCACACGATTGTTTTGCGCCATGTAAATCTGGGTTAATATACGACTAAAGAGAAAGGGGAGAAAAGAGAAAGAAAGAGAAAAAGAGGAGAGACCATTCGATTGACTTTGGAGTTTTGTTATCATTCGAGTTCGAGGATATCATTTTGTTTTATTTCTTTCTATCAAAGTACTCACTCTCTTACAATATTGGAAGATTATCGTATCACAAGCAAAAAAATTCCCAGAATATTCACCAATTCAACGAGTACAAACCCTTTGGAATCACGACAAATTTCCTTCTTTTTTCAGCGGTACACATATGCCAAGTGTTAATAGTCCAGTCTCATCACGTACAATCAATTTTCAACCATTTTCACACAGCCGTCGGCGTTTGATATCGAAATGGAACACGATCACATGTTAAGGGAATGCCCCCCATCCTACGCATCTCACGACCCTCAAACCATAAGTTTGCCTTCTGTACCCACAGCAGACCCCCCACCGATTCATCATGAACGAGTCTTGCCCCCTCTACCTCCTATGTCTACAGAACCAAAATATCGGCAAGATCCAGTCGCAGAAGTACCATTGACATGGCCGTCTTCAAATCCTCTAACCGCATATTATCAGCCGGGCCCCTCACAGCTATCTCCTAAAACAACGACTAGAAGAAGTACAGATTCGCCAAACGGGATGGACTTAGATTTATCAGACAACAGAGCAAGGAGAGGTGGAAGTGTACTATCTATAGACGATCCTGATGTGCGACTTGCTGCTGAAGCATTGGGAGATCTTCGCGCCGGTATGATTTGCAAAGAAATCTTGGGGGAATTCTATACTAATTTTGCTGCAGATTTCATACAGTCTTCCCCCCGTCAGCGTACTGCTCCCTCTTCAAACTCCCCTCGGTTTCGACAAGGTGGTTCTACACAACCAGAACCCCTCCTCTCACTTCTCACCACATCCCACCCCCTCATTGGCAATGCGATAGGCGGTTCACTATCCGCATACTCGGCTTCCAAAAACTATAGTCCACGTTTCAAGTCTAGTGCAGAATACGTGGAAAGAAGGATTACTCCGGTTGTCAATACAATTAATTCTGTCAACCGTATTACTGGAGTTGAAGGGGGTGTGCGTTGGTTCCTTGGTGGTCGCCGGCCGAGCCATCATGGACCGTCCGATACCGAATCCGATTCCCCTTCTCATAAGCGACGGAAAGTCAATACGTCCTCTCCGGCCGACCTCGAAGGTCAGCCTATGCAGTTTGAAATACAATTTGATCAACAGCGCCGCCGTCGGCCTAGCCAGGCTTCTACAACAGACAGCCTTCCTGCATATGATGATCAACGTAGTCCTAGCTATGAAGCTTCACAGCAAGCATTAGTACCATCAAACCGAGGATCTGAAGAATCTGCATCTCCTGGGAGCTCCTGGCAATCCCGTCTCGTCCTTTCGACCTCGGGACTCAGTGTCGCAATGTCGGAAGAGTCGCTCCGAAGTCTGAAATACTGCCTCAGTTGGATTCGTTGGGCAAATGAGCACATAGGGAAACTAATCGTGGCATTGAAAGCAGTCTTGGAACAATACGATAATTCTGGCACCATTGCTGACACCCCCTACTCCGAAAAGGGAGCTGACAATAATCAACGTCAAATAGTGCTTCACACAGATGATCAACGCTCAGCCTTGACTGCAAAGATTGCGCAGTTGAATAAGGATGTCTTGAAGACTTTGAAAGAGGTGGTAGATATTGTCTCTAAATATGCTGGTGGTGCTCTTCCCGAAAATGCAAGAGATCTCGTACGCAAGCACTTGACATCCTTGCCACGACGATTTCAAATCGCAAATTCCGTTTCAAATGGTGAGAGTAGAAGTCATCGGGATGGAGATAGTGATGCCAAGGAAGGCGCACAAAGAGTCATGGTATTGGCAAAAGAGGGGTTGGACATGATGACTCAAGTATCAGGAGTTTTGGACGGAACGATAGTCAGTGCAGAAGAATGGTGCGAAAAATTAGGGAGAAAGAAAAGGGAAGAAAGGGAGACAAATACTCCACAGGATGAAAAAACGATGAATGGAGGGAGAAACGGAAGGGACGAAGTTTTACCAGTTGTTAGCGGTGATGTCAAGATGGGGTATGCAGGGTTCGGTGAGGAGAAGCCTACACTTGTTTAAGTTTGGGTATTTCTTATTATCACTCTTTTGGTCTGGACATTCTTTGAGTATGCGCATATGGCTATAAGTGGTGGAGTATTTAGGGTACGGAATTGGAAAGATTTAAAGCTTGGCGTATTGGAAACTGACGGTACAAAGGGCGTCAGGTTGTGGAAGAGGAGAACTGGGAAACAAGTGAGGATTATATCTCTGCGCATAAAGTTCACAGAAGGAGTTGATACTCGCGACAGAGATTGATACTACAGAATGGTTTGTGAACTTTGTGTTTGCACTCTGAGTGAGCGATATTTATCGATGTAAAAGAATCAATATATTCTAGATTTCTGATGCAATGCTTGCTTGGACCTCTTACTACATGTGTGAATATGATCTGTTTGAGCGGGCTGATGGAGCAATCTATTAGCAAGATACGTTCGATTGCGTAAGAATGTCTATATTCCTGTATCTGCCAATATCATTCTTCAGCTTCATCTCTATCTCAAGTGGGATGGAGACGGAAATGAAAATGGAAATGAAAATGGAAATGAAAATGGAAATGAAAATGACATCCATTGGAAATAGAATGGAGTAATGTAATATTCACATCCATCTCATTTATTACATTACTTAAAGACTCAAATACTCAGATCCTTTTATTTGTCTTCTTATTCTTATTTCTATTTCTATTAATATTCATATATCCACATATTCATATATTCACATGAATACTCCAATCCTCGCATCTGCATCGCTCTTCCTACTCCGTCTTCTATCTCTTATAATATAGTTCAGATATCTAGGTACCTAGGTACCTATGTAGTGCAGGTCACGGAATCGGGATCGGGATCGGGATCTATATATAATGTCTAGAAGTGATTTAAAAGGGTACCTAGGTATAGATAAGTGGTTTGTAGATTTCATGTTGTGGCTTGAGGGGTTTAGATATTTAGGTAGGTAGGTAGGTAGGTAGGTATTTATTTATATTTGTGTTTGTATTTGTGTTTGTGTTTGGGTGTGAAGAATGATGGATGGGATGGGATGGGATGGGATGGGATGGGATAGGATGGGATGGGATGGGATGGAGTGTGTAAGAGATATTTATATTGGAGATATTGGAGATATTGCATTTCCCTTTTATTCTTGTTCTTGATTCTTATAGTGAAGTTATCTAGATAATTGGAGTATATATCCTTAATATTTGAATAAAAAGAGTTGAGTAAAGTTACGTCTGGGTTTTTCATTTTGAGGGTTTTATAGTGAGGCGAGATCTATCTATCTATCTACTTGTCTATCTAGGTACCTAAGCTGGGCTGAATATGTAGTAGGTGCTAAAACTAACAAAGCTAGGTAGGGTATTTTAGTTAGTTGATTGTTTAACTAATTATATGAAGATATATGATGATGTAATGATGTGATGATGATTCTTTTCCTTTTTTAAGTCATTTTGTGGAGGATTTAATTTGGATTTGAAGGTGTGTGGCTTCTGGAGTTTGCTACAGGCGGGTTGAAGTGAAGAGTTGAAAGTAGATAGTGAGATGGGGGAGTTCCAAGTTGGGTTGAGGAATGCGGAGAAGAGAAGGCTTTCTATTTATTTTTCTTTTTGTGTGAGAGTGGTGTTGGGTGGGAGGTTGTAGATGTGGATGTGGATGTGGATTTGAAGATGGAGTGGAGAGTTTTGAATGAGTAGAGGAGAGTAAAGGAATGCGGATAAGTGTGGGTGTAGTTGTGGTTGATGGGGTGAGGGTAGAGAATGGGTGACGAGTGATGGGTGATGAGTGGAGATAGATAGGATGGGAATAGATTAATTTTCGAGGGTTTGAATGGAATGATGCAGTAGGGATAAATGTAGATAAATGCGAGAGGTTGTGACACCTAACTACCTACCTATCCACTCATCTGCTGCGCAATCCCCAGACACAACAACCAAGCCGATCTCAAAGGGAGTGCGAACCAAACCCCACATAAATCTCACGAGCTCTGCGTAAGCGGTCTTGTTATTTTCGACGGACGAGCCCGAGCGATCGAGTTTGTAGAACTGGGATTAATCTGTAGAGCTAATGGTAAAATATGAGGTGCTAAGCGAGTCTGAGATGTCACACCTCGTGATTCGTCGTTTGTGTATGAGATCGGTTGGGGAGACTTTGGGGGTGAGGAGTGGTGTACTGTTAATCTGTCGTGGGATGTGTTGGTTTTCCGGTTTAGGGTTGGTTCTCGATGGTTTCTGGTTTCTTGGGGATGGGGAACGGGAGTTCTTTGGGTTTGGCTTGGGAGTTGTTGGTCAGAAGTTGCAAGCGGCTGTACTGGATTTCGGGTATTTGGATCATTTGGATGGTTTTGGGGCTTGGATAAATGAGCTGGTACGTTGGAGAGACGTTCGAGAGATGGAAGTGCAAGTCCCGATTGAGCTATCCGAGAATCTCCATCATGAATCCCAAAATCTCTTAATTCGACCCCCTCATCTGCGAGTTGCGGTTCTTGTCTTTCAACTTCTCGACGGTTTCGTGAACTGTGGTTTTCAATCTCATATCCACCAACCGGAGATTTCGACCCATCACTCCTTGGCGTCTCCATCAACCATCTCAGACACTTCTTGACTCTCCCCTCTTCTTTTCCCCACAATCCTCTTACATGTACTCTATTAACTCCCTGCAACCCAGCCTCCGCTTCATCAACTACTAGCTCCCCGAAACTTTCTCTTAAGAAAAGTATAAAGCGTGATAGACACCATAGAAGAATAATAACACCGATGGTTATATAAGAGCCCGCGATGAAATTCGAAGGTACAACCCGTTTGTCTACGACGGAATAGATGAGGATTACGGTGCCTGTGATGAGGAAGACTGTGAAGAGTGCCAGAGGGAGGAGACGAGTGGTGAAGGCTCGGAGCATGTAGAAGCGAGGGGGACGAATGAGAGATGTGGCTGTAGTAGAGGGTGAACGGTTGTTTGCGGGGATGCTTGCGGAAGGCCGGGTGGGGGACGGTGAGGTGTGGTTTGGGGAAGTCATGTTGAAGGATATCTGCCGATGGTTTGGTGGAGTCGATGGGAATGATGAATGGGTTTGTGGCTATTGTTGATAAGTGACTAGTGCAGGATCTTTGTTTAAGTGCATGTTTGAAGAGTTTATTATCAACTTCTCAAGAAGAAGATTTTGATCGATGGTTCTAGTCAAACAGTTGAAAGGATGTTGTTGATGTTGTGTTTCACGAACAATTGAGGCTCGAGGATTGTAGAGCCCGGTAGCAAACATGGTGTATCACCATAAGTAGATAATTGGCCTCGATTTTAGAATTGGGTTGATAATTAAGCCTCCATCCAGTGGTTGAGGTTATTTCAGAGATAGAAATTCATTGGTAAAGGCATGCTGGAACATTCGCTCCTCATCATCCCAGATCAGAGCAGATACTGTGTAACATGTATTGATTACAAGAGGATATGTCAAAAATACTAGAATCATTGTGTTTGCTTTGAAATGGCCAATCACAATTATGTTGGTGTATTCTATTAACCGTGATGATGGCTACGTACCTTGACCCATTCAGCACGACGATTACTGCATCTTAGATGCAAACATTCTGTACAATTTACAATTACTGCATCTTAGATGCAAACATTCTGTACAATTTACAATTGCCGTCGTCATCCCTGAAGATGTGTAGTTTCCAATATATTCTCGACACCAGCAACAGCTCCAAATAGCGACAGCGGCTTTCCGCGATTTTGAAGTTGTTGTAGATGGTTGGGCTGAAGGTCTAGTATCAGGTTTCAAATCGCTTCGTGACAGCTTTAAGACAGATTTAGATTTTTTCGTTCGAAGCTTTGTATCGCTGTTTTGTGGTCTCAGAAGCTCCGTAGATTGTGCAGTCGGGGGTTGATGATTCAATCGATAGACGCAGCGTGCGAAATTTGCAGTATTGACAGCCTCAGATACCTCTGTGTCGTGCTGTTCCATAGCCACTTGCGATACAGGAGAATAATGGTTCCTGATCTTGTTGGAAACTCCAGGCTCGAGTATCTCTTTCTGACACGATGAACTTTTTAGATTAGCTAACTTCTGGGAGAACTTAAGGTACGAGAGAGTTTACTAACCATTTCCTCCATGTAGAATTAGTGATACTAATTAAGACGCCCGAACAACTGGTGTCAGGGCATCTATCCTTTAGTTTGTTACTATAGTCAAGCACCATGGCCATTTCTATATGACACCCTGGCTTAATGATCCGCGACCAGGTATCAGCCGTCAGAGCAGATTTCTCCGATTTATTCGCGAGTAGATATGACCCTCGTTCTACCCAGGGTTTCCCTACTGTATCAGAGAACGATTGATATAAGAATGCCTGAAAGACCTAAATTGTTGATAAAAGTTCAGCTTGATAAGGATATACATACTTGAAAATTATTAAAAACATCAAACTGAAGAACTCTTGGAGGACGGCCAAGTGCATCATGAAACGTTATGTGATATATCGCAAGCAGGTTGGGTGTCAAGGGCCTCGACAGCATCAGCCTGTTGGCTAGATATAAACTGCACAGAATCAGTCTTTGAGAATTCAAGTAAGAGAAGAGAAAACGTACCAAAGATTGCGCAGGAACATTCCTGCATATAGAATGATGCCATAGTATCTGTGGGGATCAACGTCAGGTTGTAGCATTGTATGAAAAGTACCAGGAAGACTTACATATTTCGCAACGATTGTTTGATCTCCTCGTCGCTCGCTTCGAGCGGATCTCTGTTCGTTGCTTGAAACAAAACATTACTTGCAGGAGGTGACTCGGTATTACCTACCCTTCGTGGGTAACTGCCAATGATAGGTATTTGAGAACTATTCGACGTTGGTCCAAGCGTGCTGGTTATATGCTCTTTTATGTTGTGAACAGCAGCATCAAAAGCACCATTATTCTCGGGCCTGGAGTCATCGATCTTAAGCGATTGCAACAATAGAATGATATCTTCTGCTTTAGAGTATAGTTCTTTATGCTGCTCATTCCTTTCCCTTCGTATTATACATATCTCACTCCGTATAGGATTGACCATTCCTTCTAGAAGTGAAACCATCTGAGGGGTAAGGGTATTCATAAACAGTTTTTTCATTTCGTCTGGAAGGGTAAGGACGACTTCCCTTTAGGTGACCATGAATTAGTATGAGTATTGCAAACAGTGAGGGCAGCGAGAATAGCTCAAGAGGAAACACTCACAATGTAAACCGATTTAAAAGATTGTCGAGCGTAAGTAAATGCACCTTGATTTCCTTCTTAAGTTTGTGATGGGAATGCTTGAAAGTCCATAACATCTTTTGGGGTATGTTTTTCCACCAGCCGGGTGTAGCATTGCTACCTAAGTGTGGTTCAAAGTTCTTCATGATTTTGATAAAACGCTCCAAAGGCGGTCGAATATTCTGGATTTGTCTACGTATCTCATCTCCATACGAAGGATATACCCCTAATGTAGCGAAGACGTGTAGGTTCTTTAACGTGAGATTAACGTTCTCAAGAAAGACAGCCATTTTGCGATACTCATCAGGAGCCCCACTTGCATCATCAAGGGCTTTTACAACCTTGACAATCAAAGATATTGCCTGCGCAATATCTCCAGCAGACCATCCAAATGACATGTTGTTTATTGACGTGATGAAGAATAGCGATGAGGGACCGAACTTCAAGGACGAAGGGTTCGATCTTATACAACACCCAACGAGGCTGTTGTCTGCTAAGCCACATGTGATGCTGCAAGACTAGGTACTCTGCATATTACCTTGAAAGCGTGCATGGGCATCCAGCCAATGGTGGAAAATCTCATGTCTATGCATTCTCACTCAAATATTTGGGATATGCTAATTGATTCGTGACGGCTCGTTGCTATATAGGGCTGTTTGGTTATTATTGCAGTATTGTAAAATCAACGGTATACTAGACAGACTCAAGCATGATATATTCATTGTAAGTAATTAGCTATGCGAGAAACCCGCCGAATTTGTTGGAAGCACATCTCAACTTTCGGCTCTTTTGACCTAATAGAACATTTTCAGACGTTGAACATCCCCGAGAGTTCAATTATGACTGCTAAATGAGCTAGCACCAGATGAAATGAAGCACTGAGATGTGCGCATCAAAGACTTTGGAAAGTGGGAATTAAGGGAAGATAAAATTGCAGACCATCATGGCAGCGTAACGTATTATCAGAACCGAGAAAGACAAGCCACTTCATCGAGAGAGGGGTGTGTTCCAGGACAGTAAAGAGAAACATTCGTTCCAAGTATTCGCAAATTTTCAGACAATAAACTCGATGTAGTGAGGCATTTGAAAATTGTGTTTGTTTCACAGAAACCGAATATTAGTAAACAATGGGTCCGTCCGTCCATTCGAGATGACGGAGCGCATCATATGTAGAGCCATTCGGATTCTCTGGGTCTAGGTAGATGTTGCTCACTACTCCTCTCTCAGGACGTCCTATTTTGGTTAGAGTTTTGATAATCTTTGTGTGACCTGGATGTGATAGCTTACTTCCATGTTCTGCATCGTAAACCCTTAACTGCCCTCGCCATGCAAGATTATTGATTAGAACATTGTATAGAGTGTCATCATCAGTGCAAGAGAATGCCACCAATGCCACAATGGTAGCAAGATTGCCAGCGAGTCCTTCCGTTGGTCGGTTCCTACGATTGCGGTAGGCCTGAAGCCCAAGCTGAGCAATCCAAGCCCCGTCTCTCCCAGCAAGATATTGCTCCTCCACAGAAGCAGATACCCTTGAAAGTGTTCTTTCGTATCGAAAAGTCAGGGGATACCATCTGTTGTATGGGAAATCTGAAGTTGCGATGTCTATCGTTGTTGCATCCGCTTCCATCATTTGAAACTGCGTAAATTCATTACACCAAAACAAAGTTGTACTACTGTAATGTTGAAGCGTTTCGTTGTTCGGGTAGGTCAAACCTTGCCCGCCAAACCATTGGTAATTGGCCCCAGCATATTCGATATGTCCGTTGTTCCATCTAAACATTCGCCCGGGAGTCTGAGGTAAGAAACCATCTCTATAGACGGGTGGCACCCATCGTCCATTCTCGTTTACCCTCGGAGGTCTACCTCCGTTCTCGGGATCCTCATTAACATAAAGCTCATTGACATTGAAAAGGAAGCTAGTATGGTATTGGTGAGCCATTGTATCAGTAGTTTGCGTGCCTGGTTTATTTGTTGTCGCGAGGGTCTCTGTGTCGAATTCTGAATCAGGAAATGCCAGAAAGCTCATGAAGATAGCAAACTCACATGTACCTCACAAACCAATACATAAACTTCTCTTCAAGCTTGTACTGAGTGCTGTGAAGATTTTGACCAAATGATCGATAGATTTTAGTCAAAAGCACGTATCTATTCAGCTTGCGACAGGATGAATGTCGTGAAGAATTGCAAAGAAACACTTGTGATAATTCAGAGACAATTCTGAAGGTTAGCAAGGTCATTATCTGGGTATCCGGAGATATGGTATAGTCCTCGTGACGAACATTGATTGGATGTCGGTCTTTTTTTTTGCACCACAATCCTGGCTGACGATGCACATTTGATGCACCTTTTAGCAGCCCCATGGGATGATAGCGACTAAACGTATGTTCAAGCATAGTAATACATTCCACTTTGAATCATTCCCGTATCAAAAACGACGAGACAACCAAGAGTTGGCATATTATCATCTCCGAAAGTAAACTACAGATCTCCTTCCCCAGACTTACAAATATTTCGAGAATATCTGTTGAATTCAACGAGCGAAATATAACTATCGATAACTGATCCATGTACTTGCTCCACAGCGTCCACTTAGACAAAAGGAGGGGCACAATATGCCATCCTGGTAGATAGAAACTTGTGTAGGATTCGTTCATTACCGATGTGGTCTTAGTTGCGAACATGAGGCCTATCACGAACAAAGTGGCTGCTGTAGAACACCATAAATTGAACATTGATGTGTTTCATCTTGGCAAGAAGAGTATTTTGCCACCGATCTCGAGAGTGCTAGATTTGATCAGGAAATCGGTGAACAAGTTTGCAAAGTACAAAATCCAGGGATACCAATATTGTTTTGAATGCAGTGTATATCTACTTCTCCTTTGGCAATACTATCCCCGAGAGGTAGAGGGTTGTTTGCGTAGTCTGAAAGTTGCATGAGCAATTTGTACTGTGTATTGAGGCTCAAAATTCGGGCAAGAAATGCCGTGTGCTATAAGTTGAGGAGTCCCCGCCGAATAATTGCGAACCGCTGGCACGTTTGTGCGATTCCAAACGACATATGATTTATTGAATCAGATGTGAGCGGCTGGGTGATTGGTGGGTATGTATAGTCCCATGGACGAATCATATGTTCTGTAGCCTATTGTTATTTAGCGATGATCCGAAGGTTCAAGGTATATGAAAATGAGACGAAGGTATATATATGAATACATACCACAGGAAAAAAGGGGTATGTATATTTAATAGATATATTCGAGATCACTTCGACGATAGTCAACCTTCTTCGTGGTGGGAAGTCCTCAATATATACTTTTAATTCACTGTGAACCATGCAGTCATGGGTAGACTGCTCCTTTCAAACACTTCACTTGAGCTGGGCGTTCATATTCCTTTTCTCGTTAGCACGGTTGCCTCGTTTTTTATCACAAAATTTACCTCGTCTCAACGAGCTACAAAACACATTTCTGGTGGACATGTGCCAATTAAGGGCCACTTTTGAGTCCGTCCATGCACTTCCAATGCAGTATGGGCCTGCAAGTGATCCGGGTATGCATCTACCGGGAGAATGAGAGCGCGGCTTACCACTGCAAAAGTTACAGAAGCCAAATGATGAACTATGACTTGTCAATTTCCAGTAAGAAATATGAGTAAAATTTAGAATTTTGCATCCCTGGAAATTGGAGGGCAAGGTCCATTTAAGCAATATATTTGCCCAGTAATCAATGGTATATGCAAGGTTTGACAATGTCGGCCAAGGATCGAGAATGATACCTCGCTGGAATTCCTACTCGGTGTACCTCATTCGCCATCGTTGCACAAAGCATCCAGAACATCTGGTGTTCATGTGAACCTAGAATATTCCTGAAGTCAGCAAGAGAACACAATAATGCTCATCTCGATCTCAAAGAGGAAGATATACATGTCATGGGAACATGCATATTGTGTCAGTGGTAGTGCTACACACCAATAATAATAATCATAGCGCTCAAGCATTGCGAACAATTTGTATATTTGTGTCTTCTTGAGGTTCGTCGTTTCAATGTTGAGATGCTAAATTCTTAGTATGACTCGCTAATTTTTTAGGCCCGGACGCTTGGAACACCAACAAGCTATCTTGGCTCCCTCCCCTTTTAAATCTAAGTGCCGGCAATCTTGTGGTTGCTTACAGATGAGAAATCCTCGAAACTTGTCAAATCGACGACTGTATACTTATTTCCGTAGTGGTATTGGCAGACTCTCATCGACAAGTGTAACAATATTTGGAACGTCTAGATCGAATGCCCCATGATTCTGCCCTATCGTTTGAAACGCTACATGAATGAAGACAACAATCGAACGACAACTAGGAAGTTTCGAAGAGCTGTAGGAAAACCTAGTTGGGGATATCCGCCACTCTCCAGCTATTCATTCCACGTGTATGAGCACCGCAGATGGTTTCCAAGGCCATGTTTACGAATTCCTCTTGAGCTCTGTTTGCCGCACAAACAATGCGGCATATGGTGACAACATGGCCTAAGCCTATAGCTACAAGCTTCTCACGACTCTCTATGCATTTCAGTTTTGTTCTATGTTCATTCGAACAAATATGTACACATTTAATACCGTTTGCATTTTCACTTTATTCTCACATTCATAAGTCAAGCACGAGTTCATAAGGAAAAAAGATATCTATTGTCGTTGATGTTGTCGTACACGCTGCTCTTCTCCTGCCGTCCACCTCGAAACTCACGGTTCAAGGACTAACATCTGCAAGAGGAATCCTGTTAAATGGGATAGCTCTCGAACAAAACTTCTTCATTGGCTGGCAGACTGGACTCATTCCATCAGCATCGGGCTTCATTGCACCTCGAAACACCATCATGTCAGTCAAGTCACAATAGAAGAACACAAACAATGAATCGCATTGGCCGAAGGTTGTTTGTGAATTGTTCGTTGCGCAAGCATTTTCCAACACACCGAGGCAAGTCGCGATTGCCACAGGATCAATGCCACTTGGCGTACCTGTGGCTGTGGCTTGAGCGTTAGAATTTGTCTTCGTGGCTGATTGCTTAGTCGTTGTCGTGGTGTTGTAAAATGGATGGCTGAAGGTCTGAAGATGAGCTGGAGATGAAGCCTGGGGAGAGTTGACCTGAGCTGGGCAGGGCATTCCGATGATACCTGGACGGATCAATAAGAACCCAACGAAGAATCCAAGAAGCGCAATGATAACAATCAAGATGCAGATGACGATGGGGTAGCAACTTCTCTTAGTTTTCTTGCTTGGCACGGAATACTTCATGCTGCGCTGTCTTCTCGTCTGCTCTCTTGTAGCCCCCGCTGGGTGCAAGTCGATGTCAACAAATTGGTCTCCTGAGGCCATGTTTGCAGTTAGTGTTCGAACTTTAGTGTAGGGAGTTTAAGTAAAATTGAAAATAGTTCTGCGAAGTCTTTTGAAGTTTGCGGTATATTAGTTGGTCTAAAGTTTCAAGCTCACAAGATATCGACAGGCTGATGAGGGAAAGTTCACCACTGAAAGCTTTTTCTTACCTTTATACGTGGAAAGTTGCAATTGTTCTCAAAAGTTTGGAGAATTGTTGAATATCAATTCACGGGTAAATCATAGGAATCAAGTCCTTCTCGCAAAAAAATTCTTTGTCTTCTAGAAACAATGCTCATTGTCTTTTAACAACACCTGCTGCTTTGTTCGACTCGTCGAGAGATGATTGATCACGAGAAGAAAGAGGTGGTATGGATACATATGGACTCAAACCTACTTCAGAGTTCGATCACAAAGATCCTTTAATCTGTAGAGAAACCCAAAAATGCAAACAACACTATTCTCGAGGTCAAGTCTTTAGGTAGAATTAAAGGATGATCAGTGAGCGTTTACACCCATTCAACTTTCAAATACAGCTTCCTCAAAGACATCTCCTCTGAACAATGCCATGAACCTATCAAAATACAATCATAGAAATCATTGTCTTACTCTTGAGAAGCTTTATGCCATTCCTTTGATTGTATTCTGCATCCGTCAGCCAACGTCCAATTGTGATCATCTCAATAGAAATAATCCTCCTTTGTCTCATCAAAATCGCATCGCCAAATATCCAAACCTGGAACCCTGAATTCTTGACAACTTTCCGCAAGAATCTCTGCTCGTCATTCTTCGAGAACATACAAAATGACTACCCAATCCGGAAAAGACCCTCTCAGGCGAGAAACTTCATCTCATGAACACAATGATTATCTTACCGAATCCCTAAACGAATCAACCTCATCTTCAAGGCGCGACCGTATTTCCCAGAAAAAAAAAGCATTGGAAGAAAAACGACACAACTACGAAAAGAAATACGGATCTACTACCTCTCAAAAGCCGTCTAGCTCTAAAATCTCAGGACAGGATCCACCGCAAAATAAGTTGGGAAAAAGCTCAAGTTATGGATGGGGAGAGATCAAAGATTCTCCCGCCGACTCCTCAGAGGGAGAAGGGGGCGTACATTGGCTCGACGCACTCCTTGCTGAAAATCTTTCGCCCGCGGAATTTAGCGATAGAATAAAGGAGAGAAATGCGCAACCCGACCCCGATATTGAATATCTCAAGCAATTGAATGCAGAACTAGATGCCACAATGCAACGCCACAAAGAAAAGGCCGCAGAGATCCTCAAAAAGAAAGAAGAATTGTCGGCATTGAAATCGACGGGGAAACCGCCGAGGAGAGCGGGGCGGCCAGGAGACCGAACTTCGAGTGAAAATGAGTATCAGAGGGTGGAGGGAGAGAGAAGTAGAAGAAAGAGAGAATACGGCGAACCACCTCAACCCTTTGATTGGTTTACGCCGGAAGTTCGGAACGTGAATGGAGGGAACGCAAATGGGTATGAGGATATGGATGATTGGGGGAAACCGACCCATAAAGAATCCCAGGACCCTGTGATCCAGGCTGCGGATGAGGTAGAGCCTACTAAACCTTCAGACTCAGACAAATCAAATGAGCATGAGAATGCAGAGGATTGGTGGAAGCCATTTCAGAGAGCACCTCGGGAACCTGTGACCACGACCCCAAAAGATCCAGCGCGCGCTAAATCTTCAACCAAGAGTGTAAAATGGGGAGAAGGTCTCGGCGCGGGCGGGAAACATATACAGCCTTTTGCAGGTGGCCGTCTACCTTTCCACAACGAGCCCGAGAGTCCGATAGATGCAGCCGAGAGGCTCGAAAATCAACTCAGGGCAAACGAGGACTACAAACACAAATCCAGATACAAAAGCCCTACAGTTATGGATTTTGAAGAGCCACTCGTGTCAAGCAAGCAATACAAAATAAAAAAATCTACACCCCTCCACGACAAAGCAGTCCAAAATGCTCCATTACCAGATCCATCCGCGGCACGCATAAACCCTCATTCTCAAAACGATCACGCGGGAAAATTGAGCTGGATGGAGATTGCGATAATTGTGGTGATTGGAATGTTACTGGGAAGATTGGCACTGACGATTACAGGTGTTACATCTGAAAAACAAGATATCAGTGGAAGTTTGAAGTGGGGATTAGGGAAGACTGTTGAATAAATTGAGAAGGAAATGGTTTGATTGTTGCTGTGATCTATGTTGATGCGAGTAGCATTTGATGTAAACGTATATGTAGGAAAAGAATTATCAATGGCGTCTTTTTATGTTGCTCGCTTGAAGTATAACAGAAGGCCTTGTGCTTGTAAAGAACATGTGGAACATTGAATTCTGAATTCTATTGCGACGGGACTCTGTTGATAAAGAATCATAAGCAGTGTCATGGACTCCTTGATCTTACACTTTTCCTCGAAGATCCTAACACATATCCCCCAAGTTCCATAATCATCCCCCAAAGCCAACAAACCCCATCAATCGATTGCCCAGCAAAATACACATTTTTCACGGCTAACTTGCTTTATCCTCTAACCTCCATCTCTCTTCCCCCTCTTCTCTCTTCCAAATCCATCTCGTATAACGGCATCACAACAACCCCTCGCTTCGGTCTACAGCTCCTGTTGCCGCCTTTGAATATCTCAGTTCCTCTACAATACTTACTCTGCTTGCCTTTCCCGCCCTCCAGCGGAACAGATAAAAGTACCGCTGCGCTCGAGACGCAGGCAGCTATCTGTTGTAAAGAAGAAGTCAGGAGGATTGATGTATGGAGAATCACCATACTATATTGGCGAAACTCTAATAGACCAGTTAGGAAAAGTAGATAAATGTAGACCAACATTAAGCGTAAAACACATCGCATACCATTGCACGACAAAAATGGAAACAAAACAAATAAGTAGAGGTGAGTACGCTTTGGTCATTTCACATATCTTCGTTATCCTAACGCCAGTTTCCTTTGCGCCTTATATATGTAAGTAGAGCTATTCCATCATTCCCAAGCCAAACAAATGGCAAAAAATCAACGCCATCCCATCCCCATCATGCCCACAAAGGTTTGAAGTGGTTTGAAACATGATTGTCATAGACAACAAGTAGGTATTGTGATTTCCTTAAAATTCTCCTTCGGTACTTCCAACACCACTCATAGCCTTACTTCCATACATTCCTACTAATCCCCACACACCGACTCTCCATCCTCTCCAGAGTCCCTCAATCCCTTGTCCCTTCTTTTGAACTTTCTTAATTTTCCTCAATGGTGTCACCGCGCCTACACTTGCGACAGGCTCGGGACTAGATGACTCTCCTTCTTCGCGGGCAATAGACCACATTGTACCTACCACTCCATTGTATGGACCAATATCGACAATTGTTTTAAGGTCTTGAGATTCGTTATATTGAGTTGAGGCGAGTACCGCAGCTTGTCCACGACGTAAAACTGTTTCAATTGGTAGACGAATGAAGATTTCCAGTGTTTGAGCAAGGAATGTGAATGTTGTGTAGCTCGTGGGGGTGAGAATAGGATCGATGGAGAGGCGAGTTCGAAGAAGTAGCGGAGTGCAGTGTGATATAGTGGGCTTGACTATGGAGTGGAGAATAGTAGGAATGAGAAGTAATGGAGGACATATATATGAGGGTAGGGTGTTGAGGTTGTGAGTGAGAGATCTTTTAGGATCTGAAGTTGGGGTGAGGATCAACCTATCTGAATTAGTACTCTGTTTGGAGAATAGTGATTAATGACTTACTTCGTCCTCACAAGATCAAGAGGGGCAAGAATAAGACCTGCAGTAGCAGCTGCCGCTATTGCTACACTTAATGATGTCCATGGGCTAGGAGAACCAGTAACATCAACTTGCGCTGCTAGTGTTGCTAAACCTGGATCCGGAATGTTCAGTGCCGCCGATATCATGCTGCTTGACCAACTTTCCATCGTCTTCAGTAGAAAGCCGTAGATAAAAGTTGCATTGGATCCCTTCCATACACCCCAAGCTCCCTCCTTTGACCACTCCTGTGCTATCACCTCCATTATAGAATCTGACCTCCGAAGGTTTAATTGATGTGCAGGCTTTGGCTTTGGTGGTGTTACTTTAGGAATAGATTTGTTCTCCCACCCAGATCCTTCGCTGCTATATCGACGCCTCGACGGGGACGATGACTTTGTATGGGGTGCCGCCGATGTAAAGTAAGCTGTCTCGTCTGCATCAGAGTCGTCGGAGGGGTAGTTCTAGATTCCGATTAGCTCCGCATCTCGACCCCTCACTTGGAAAATCCTACCTCATTGTACTCTGATGGTCGTCGTTTTATTTTCTCCACTGTAGCTGCTGGTGTTGTCCCTTCCTCAACATCCTGACTCTTTACCTGCAAAATTGTTTTTGCAACCTCGAAGGGCTGTCCACACAATATCCCCGCATAGTTGGTAAAAGTCTCGTTAACGAACTTCTGAAGTGATTCGATGGTAGATGGTGAGGTATCCGATAGATAGTCACTGTAGTCAATATCTGAGAATATGTCTCGAGCTGAAGATGCATATGAAGCTGCACTTCCGTTTTTCAATCCTACTCCATGAGTTCCCGAAGTCGTAATAGGTACTTCTTGAGGTATTCCGATGGAAGGTGGAACATAATATGGTCTTAACGGGTTTGGACCTTCTCTTGAGGTCGACATTTTGGGTTATGTTGCATTCAAGAATAAAAACGAGGGGAAAGAAAATTTACACAAATTCTCTTATGTAGTTGTTGTTGTCGTCGTCTCTTTGTTTTCCACGTCGGTCCGTCAATGCAAGGTTGAAGAAGTACCTTGTAAAGGTATTCAAGCTTTTTTTTCCCCTACGATGTTCAATTGGAGAGTTCATCAACAAGGATTATTACATTGGCCTCAAAGCTGGGCTGGCTGAACTGGAGTAATGGGTGACTGATATGCCTTATCCGCGAATAGACCTTGCTCACAGCTTGTTCGACCGCCCTGAACCGCACAAAATTTCGGAGTAATCGCAATACACCGATTGGTTATGCGCGGATTTACGAATATTTTTATATGAGTACAAAATGTAATGCCACCACCTACCTACCTTTGGTTGAAAGATTCAAAGAGTTGTGGAAAGCTTGTAATGATTTGAAACAATAAAATTATTTGTTTACTCTCAAAAGAACACTCTTTACTGTTTCAATTCTTAAATGTGTCAAGAAGTTTCAACAAGCATCTGAAAGATCAAATATTTACTTCGGGCAAAAGAAGTCTACATCCATCTCACTACATATCCACCCTCAACTCCGGACCTTCCTCACTTTCTCAACCCCACCCATTCTTCACAACAATCACGATAAAGACGAGATGTCTGCAGTTCGAAGTACAAGCCGAGCCTTTGTAGGTATTCGCAGAACCGCCACTCAATCTCTACGAAGAGAGTTTGCGACAGTGGCCGATAGTCCCATTCGATTTTCCTGCAGACCCCCCGCAGCGCCCGCTCTGTTATGTCCCTTCTCGATATCGGGGTCGCGACCTAGCACGAAGCAGATGTGCGAGATCAGACAGAACAGGAGATCCACAGCTGCACGTCGAGAATTCTCTGCTACATCAAAAGCTTTACATGGGCATGTAACGCCCCCAAAGCCTGGGGAAGGGTGGGTCTTTTCACTTGTCAACGTTTGCCGTTTTACCAATGCTAATTGACTTGCAGTTTACATGTTACATTCTTCGATAAGGAGGGAGATGAACATACTTTTGAGGTATCGGCAGGAGACAATCTTTTGGATATAGCACAAGCCAATGACTTGGAAATGGAAGGTTAGTTAAGTAGACAATTATCCTCGGACCATAAACTGATAAGGATTATAGGCGCCTGTGGAGGATCTTGCTCATGTTCAACATGTCATGTCATAGTCGAGGATGAAGCATTTTACGATAAAATGAATGAGCCGGATGATGATGAGAATGATATGTTGGATTTAGCGTTCGGCTTGAGGGAAACATCAAGATTGGGTTGTCAAATTGTGATGTCAAAAGAGTTGGATGGGTTGCGCGTAAGGCTTCCTTCTATGACACGAAATCTCCAGGCCAGCGATTTCAGTAACAAGAGTTGATGCGGCTGAGCGATACAACTTCATCACATGTACGGTCACGAATGGTTTGAGACATTATCCCTAAATAATGGTGTAGGGAAGCATTGCATTTGGGTCGTAGGTTGGACATATTAAAAAGGGTATCTGTCCTTTGTACATATACTCCATATCAATGATGGACAAGGAGTTGGTGGATACTCAGGTACTTTGCTTTAACGAAACCCTCATGAGGGGTAAAATCCCACCTCTAACGCCATACCATGCCAAACGTAATTAGAACATATTCCATCCTTTTCAGGCCTCTTCAATCTCTCCTTTCCTCAGTCCACCTCCACCTGCAATCAAATCCAAAAATCCTTTCTTGCTCATCTCGTTTATTTTCTCCTCTCTCCTTCCCTGTCCTACAACTCCTTTTTGTCTCGCTTCCTTGGCTGCCTCCTCGCCTTTGACTTGGGCTGCTCTAACAGCATTAAAGAGTTTGACAACACCTCTTTGAGCAGTTTTCCTCAACCGCTTTTCCAATTCCATCGTTGCCTGTACACTTGGTACATTTTCTCCATTCCCATAACCATTGCTCGCATCGAATGCCGTACTGGCACCTAAAACGTCCTTGACTCTTCCCTTCTCCATTGCAGCTTTCTTCTCCTCCCTCATCTTATGCTTTGCCTTCTTTTCCAAAGCCAAATCCGTCATTTCCTTGCTAGCTTCTATTGCCGTCTGGCTTCTCGACAAAACCGGATCATTTCTTTTACTCGCTGATAATTTGGATCCCAAAATCTTGGACATAGATGTCGCAAATGCCTCTGGATCATTGCGCTTTCGTGCCTTTATTAAATTTGGGTTTGAATTTGTGTCCGAATCGTCATCTGAATTTTCTGAATCGGAATTTGAGGCATCGGTGACTTCTTCTTCTAACTCGTTATCTGCGGCATTGAGATCTGGCTCATCATCCTCGTCGGATAAAGTGCCTGTGACTGCATCATTGGGTCCTTCCTCCTCTTCGTCTGAATCTTGTAAATTGACTGCTTGAAAATCTTGAGTTGCTGCGGATTCTTCTTCGTCGGATGAGGATTCGTAGTATGTTTGTTTCTTGAACTTCTTGGTAGGTCTACCGGTTTTTCCTTTCATTCCATCCTCCACCTTACGCTTCTTCGAAACATTTCCTGCCATTGTTGTTGTTGTGATTGAATTGAGAGTTATTTTACTTTGAGCAATGGTTGATAGGAAAATTAAATCTTATCATATCCAGGAAATTTTTGGATTTCTCGGAGAACGGATAAACCTTTCGGTACACTAAATTCCCCGCGCTTTTATTTGTCCCACACCTTCGAGCCACATTAAATCATTAAATGCATCCTTCTCATCTGGGGACATACATTGAAGTCTGTCAATAAAGCTGTCGCATAAACTATTGTAATCATGGTTCTTCAAGATTTAGGTCGGCGCATAAATGCTGCAGTTACAGATCTCACAAGATCTAGCAATTTGGATGAAAAGGTCAGTGTCAAGGACAATTGTCAAGATCTCTCAACGTTCCTCCTACTAATATCACTTAGGCATTCGATGGCATGATCAAGGAGATTTGCTCCGCATTGCTCGAGGCCGATGTAAATGTAAAGTTGGTGGGAAACCTACGAAAATCCATTAAAGCCTCCGTGAACTTTAAAGAACTTGCACCGGCTGTCAACAAGAAGAAAGTCATTCAAAAGGCTGTATATGATGAATTAGTCAAGCTTGTCGATCCTCATGCCGAACCTTTCAAGCCAAAGAAGGGCAAAGCGAATATCATTATGTTTGTTGGATTGCAGGGAGCTGGAAAGACTACCACATGTACAAAATTGGCAAGATGGTATCAATCAAGAGGGTTCAAGGCTTGTTTGGTTTGCGCGGATACCTTCCGTGCAGGTGCTTTCGATCAGTTGAAGCAAAACGCTACGAAGGCTAAGATTCCATATTACGGTTCTCTTACACAAACGGATCCAGCAGTTGTGGCGAAGGAGGGGGTGGATAAATTTAAGAAGGAGAAATTCGAGATTATTATTGTGGACACCAGTGGAAGACATCGACAAGAAGATGCTCTGTTTCAAGAAATGGTGGATATTCAAACAGCTGTAAAGCCCGACCAAACTGTAATGGTGATGGATGCCAGCATAGGACAGCAAGCTGAGGCGCAAAGTAAGGCCTTCAAAGAAACCGCCGACTTTGGAGCTATTATTATCACGAAAACCGATGGCCATGCAAGCGGAGGTGGTGCAATCTCCGCAGTTGCAGCAACACATACACCTATCATATTTATCGGAACTGGAGAACACATGCTTGATTTAGAAAAGTTCGCACCCACACAATTCGTTTCCAAACTACTGGGTATGGGAGATATGCAAGGACTTATGGAGCATGTTCAGTCTTTGAAGTTAGATCAAAAAGACACCATGAAGCACATCGTGGAGGGTATTTTTACAGTTCGTGATCTTCGCGATCAATTATCTAATATAATGAAGATGGGACCTCTTTCGAAAATGGCTGGTATGATTCCGGGTATGGGAAATATGATGCAAGGAATGGACGATGAGGATGGTGCCATGAAACTCAAACGTATGATTTACATTTGTGATTCTATGACGGCCAAAGAACTCGATTCAGACGGAAAAATATTCCTCGAACAACCTACTAGAATGACGAGGATAGCTTGCGGCAGTGGCACAAGTGTTAGGGAAATAGAGGACTTATTAACTCAACACAAGATGATGGCTGGTATGGCAAAGACAATGGGTGGAAGTATGAAGAATATGCAAAAAGCACAAGGTGCAATGGGAGGTGCAAACAAACAGCAACAAATGGCCGCTATGCAAAAGAGACTCGCTTCGATGGGAGGCGGTGGAGGCGGTGGAATGCCAGATTTGAGTAGCATGATGGTATGTTGCGTTACATATACTGATATCGAGTCACTGCTAACAGTCATTATAGAAAATGCTCGGTGGTGGTGGTGCTGGGGGCATGCCCGGTGGTATGCCTGACATGTCTAGTCTGATGGTATATCCTCTAGTTCATCCTCAATATTGATGTTTTGCTAATTTGTCTTTAGAAAATGATGGGTGGCGGCGGTATGCCTGGAATGCCTGGAATGCCCGGTATGGGAGGCGCTCCAGCGGGTAGAGGGGGCAGAAGGTAATCTCTTCGTATCAATTGTATATCATCAAGAAACGAAGGAAACGGATGAGGACAAGGTACCTAGGTCAATAATGTATGCATTAAGCGACGGCGTTCAGGTAATGAAACCATTTGTCTGGGATAGATATTTGAATTATCGACCATTGAGATATTGACGAAATCTATGTTCTTGGATAAGCTCCATATTTCTGTAATCAAGTTTATGTTATTGTAGGGGATTATCTGATGAACCATCCTGGTGATCTCAGAGTTCGCGTGCGCTGACAAAGATCCACGCAGTGTAAGACGACAAGTCATACGTACAAGTGCCACAACAATGAATTATGAGCCTATTCTTTGAGCCATCTTTTGGTAATTAATTATCCAGATTTATAGATGGGCACATCTTGTCTGCGGTTCTTTATTTGCCCGCCCCCCTCCTTTCCCTTTCAAGTCCTTTCCATTTCCAAACAAAGTGGTATAGTTGGTATATAATAAACGCCTTGCTTCGAGTTCCACGAAGTCTTTTGGCATCCAGCCGTCTCTTTATTCATTCACAATTGCGCCATTTAAACCACCTCAAAAATTTAGTATCCTTTCGTATCATCCGTCCTAACCCCCACAGACGGATCGCTCAAAGCCCGCACCCTATTCCTAATCCTCTCCTCTTCATCTGTCCCCTCATCAACAAGACCAATCCAATCCTCCTCATCCCCTATAGCTCTCGATCCCTTTCGCGAACCAAGTACACTCATTTCCCATTCCTCTCTGCCTCTTCCTCTACTCCATTCTTTCCTTCCCATTCCAGGTCGATTATTATTGAGAGAACTCAGCGATCCACCCACCGTGAATCTCGACGCCATTCTAAAATCATTTTGCGGCATCTCTTCTCCTCCTCCTTTCCCATTTCCATTATTCCCCTGCAAACCCACAGCCGAGCTTTTTCTTCTCCCTCCAACCGTCGTTGCCTGACTCCTACTCGCAGTCACCGCGCTCTTCAACCACGTAATATCGGGCACCATTTTCCTGACCAGCGGTCTTAAGCACGGCGCACTAACACAGAACAATGCAGTGTTGAGTTCAATACTCGACCACGTTGTGATTTCCCACAGGTCCCACGTATAATCTCTCTCGGTGAAAATGGGTTTAGAGCGAATGAAGCGAATGATCGAGGCGATGATGACGAGGATACCGAAACTAACGATCGCGACTAGCGTTGCTTTTTGACGTTTGTTGATTTTGAGGGGTACTTTTCGCAATTGTTAATCATTATTCTTCTCGACTAAAGGATATATGAGGATAAGGAAAATAATACATACACACTCTCGGTACGACAAAAAGAATAAGTGCCACATCACTGAAAACACTACAAGTGGTAAAAGTAATGATTCCCGGCAAGGGATCAATACAACGAATTTGTTCCACGCTGAAATCCCACTGCGAAACGATTGGATCGCATTGAAAAACCACAATCAACGTGAGAGGAATCGTCGATACAATTTGGAAAGCCAATAGACTGTATACAATGATTTTGCTCAGTCGATCTTGGAAGATTCGTGAATAGACCAGACAGATGGCAACTCTTACCATCATAAGAGATACTTGGTAGAGGATTCGAGACACGAAAGCGAGGATGAAGAAAGGTTTTAGGTCTGACGGGGTCTGGAGTTCAACGTGACGGCCGCCGCCATAGCTACAGAAGAGTGCATTGGTGACTGCAGCAAAGATGGTGAGGATCTAGTCGGGATGTTAGAGAGGATAGACAATAAAGAGACTTTGTAATGTAATGAAATATCGTACCCATGCTATAACAATGCAAAAATCATCCCATCCCCAGTTTCTGGTGATGACTCCCCGAGTATAGAGACGTCCAGCCACAAACAGCGTACCCAAAGCTGTTGGCAATATCGTTCCTACAAGTAGCAAATGCACTCTTGTCTCATTTAATTCATCACCCTGATTTCTGTTAGTATTCGGTTATGCAACGAAGCTATATGACACGCTTTTTCTGATTGATCCCAACAGCTACTACACAAGTCGGATTAAGAACTTAAAGAGGCACTAGCCCTCACAGAGAGATTACAATGAAAGAGAAAGCTCTACTTACTGAAGACATTACCAGCAAAGATAACCTGCATTCAACGAGCCAGGGTAAGATGTCAACATTATCGATATGACACAAAATATGGGGAGAAGAACCCTTTTCATAATCCAAACCGCCTTAAGTTTCCTTTCCATTCTGAACGAAAACCCCAGGGCTTCCTACTCCGAACTTTAAGAAAAGTCCTCACACAAGGTTGGTGTTGGGATTGAGTCTGTGCGATTAACTTTCCTCGTCTGTACACAATATCCATCACCCATGATGCACGTATGAAGATTGAAACTTTATTCCGTATACCACAAACTCGCTATTTTGGCTCACTCTAGATCAGAAAGCCGTGCGCATTTGCACGAATTCACGAAATGAACTGTGTATGGAACGAGAGGATTCTTGCCAAGCATAGAAATAAGAGTTTCACGGCAGACGATCATGGGGTAACCCTAACCATTCCAATAAATCTCCACATTAATGCGGGGGTTTATAGGGCAGGGGAACATTTTCCGTTGATGGTTTAAGAAGACCAGGCTGGTATATAGTGGGTAAAGTTGTGTATTGGTCTAAAAGAGGTAATGGGAGGGATGATCCCTTATATACCCACTTATAATCTATATACGGCAAGTGCACCCCCTTCATCTCCACCTTCCTTCTGTTTACTCGTGTGAACGGGATGCGGATACTCGTTGACATATCCGGGTATACTTATTCCTCGATCTTATACCTGATGTATTGCTCGTAGACCTCGAGTAATACAAACAAACTTTGCAGCTTTTCCGGACCAACCAAAGCACAGTTACTCACATTGTGCTAGTCAAGCAGTGGAAGGATTGCAATCTCATAAGGTTTGCGGCTTGCCGTTTGCCGTTTAATATGATCTAGAGCTGACATGTACCTTGGAGTATTCAAAGATCGTATTATACCCAATCATGGAGCCCAGCGAATATCTGCCTTGCGGCGAAACATGAGCAATCTTTGTCGTTTCTATTAAATCATTTGTGGCTATGTAATTCGTTCAAAAATCTACATAAGAGATTCATTACGGGCAAACGAAGCTCCTGTCCCAGGTATAAAACTGTTCTTACCAAAAGTAGTTCAGATAGCGAAACTGGTTTCTATGATGAACTTAAAGTTAGGGATGGGCGAATTATATAATTTGGGGGTCGATTATATAATTTTATATTATAATGCTTTTTGAGGTATATAAAATATTATGCCAAGTTTATGCACGTGTTTTTCGGGCCAATAAGATTATCAGGATGAATGAAAGTGGGTTGTTTTTGGAAAAAGTTTTTAATGGGTTCTAATTTTCAATTTAGTGTATAATTAGACCCAAAAGTCAGGTGCTAATCATGTGATTTATATACTAATTATCTTCTTTTCAAAATAGCTTCAAAATAGCCTTTTATAGGGTTTTTATAGGGTTTTTATAGGGTTTTATAGGATTTCATGATTAGTCATAATATAATGCAATCTGAGCGATATTACATATTATATTTGACTGAGTAATATACGATATTATATATCATCAAATCGCCCAACCCTACTTAAAGTCGATGTTTGAAGGCGTGTTTCAGGGAAGAACGTTGACAAGCGATGAGGTGCTGAAACGGGAAACAAACTGCCGGAGAATTATATAATTTTAGCGAACAGTAGAATACACTAGTTATGATAATTAATATATTATAGTTGTGGACAGGAGACTTTTAGGGTCAATCGTACCCGAAATACGAATCCTACAAGCAGCGTTATTGGAAAATCGGCCAGGAGCAGCGTTAGTGAAGATGAGAAGTCGAACAGTATTTAGCAGACAACTTTACCCAACATCATTCGGTGAGAATCATACCATTGAAGTTTCTAAAGGCGTTGTTTGCAAGGTCAAGATGACTCCATGAAATCGGGAGTAGATGATGAAGAACTTGTTGCGCTTTGACTTCTTGAAAAAATCGGGTTTTATTGTTCTACCTAGGTATGCATTCTATCATAGGGAATTTGAGGATTGAAGGATCATCTTGAAAAGATCCAAGTCTTTCTTCGCGTCTTGTACACTTGTCTTAGGGGTCTTCCCATTGATAACGCAATCATGAAAATCTAAAAATTCCAAAGTATATGGATCCTCATATGTTTTCCTCACAGTTCTTTCCTGGTATCCCGATTCACCAATTCTTTCCCTGATTGTCATCGTGACAGGAAGTCCTTTGATATATCCACTGTCATAATTGACCCGAACGATCTTATCCTCCGAATATACTTCCAGATGGGCGTCGAATGTTGGAACGCCATGAACACCCGACTCATATGTTACAGCAAAGCCGTCAAATTGGAACAAGACCGTCCAAAATGGTAAGCTCAGAGATGATCCCAGAACTTTTTGAGGCATGCCACCAAGTATTTCTCTCATTGCACTCAAATCATGGGTAGCGAGACTAGAAAATCAGTAAGTGTCTTATATAAGCTGGAGCTGTGTAGGGATATTACATTGAAAAGAATCCGAAAAACTCCTTGGCCGCAGGAGTAACGTCCATCTCATACTCTGTGCCAAGCGCGTGAATAATCTGTTCATTCAGAACCGCCGACATAGCTTCGGAATCCGCCTGCTTGTAGTCTGAGAATTTCTTAGGGAATGTCGCCGATTGATCAACAAAATTGCTGTTGTGTCCGATGATATCTCTGACACGGGCATATTGAATCTTGCCGAGGCCACCTACTTCCTTCACGGCATCAACGAATGCCTGAGCGTAGCGTCTTTGATACCCAACAAAGATCTTGCCTGCCGATCCCTTTTCGGCTTCTTCAAGCTGCTCAATATCTCTGAAACATAAGCACAATGGCTTTTCTACTAGGGTGTATTTATCATTATGTAGGGCAAGTATGGCCTGGGACGCATGGAAACCGTGGGCGCTTGTTATCAGAACCACATCGACATCGGAAGAAGAACAAAGCTGTGCCGCATCTGTGGTTATTTTGGGGGTGCTCCCAGCAACATTTTTTGAACAATGCTCCAGAGCAGCTTCAGAGGGGTCACAGAGGTATGTGATGGTGAAATAGTCGGATAGGTTATTCAGGACTGTGATATGTGAGACCTGTGTTCGAGAGAGTTAGTTGCGTTGGCTGCAGATGTTGCTGGATGATAATACCTGTGCAATCTCCCCTAGCCCTATGATTCCAACTCGTAGTATTTCAGGCATTTTTGTAAGATGCGTGTATGGATGATTTGCAAGTGATCTGATAGGACTGTTTGTCGATAGGACCAATACTTAATAGGCTGATGAATGATAGAACTAATACTTGATGGGACTGATAATGATAGGACTGGTACTTAAGGATTGTTTTCTAAAGATTGAATCTTCATAGAACGGGATTTTCAGAAAAGGAAGAAATTGCTAGAATTTCGGGCCGATGAGGGAAAGAATTACCTAGTAGTTGAATAAGGAAGTGACGATAAAAAGTAGCTCACAGCGATATTGAGTATTCGTAGCTTCCCAATATGTTAATCTACAACAGTAAATGAACATTATACCTGATATCGAACAAATCTGATGAAGGGGGACAACCGAAAATGCAGTATCGCATCATAGATCCACGATAGTGGGGTGGGCATATCTGTGATCTGGCTATGGAACTTGTCTTTGATGAACGACACTTCGAGTGAGATCAATGTGAGATCACGATCTCGTTCACTTGATGGGAGACAAGTCTGTTCCATGTTGTCTGTATATCAAAGTGTACAATGTATGAATGTCATATTCCTTAGCTTTTATGAAGCTTCTTCACTAATTATCATGTGGTTTCTGGTCGGTGGTCGATGGTCCGTGCTCTCAGAAAGTTATGTAACACTCCACTTATAATAATTCTCAGACACCATGGATTGAATGAAATCGTTCAAAGTGATAGGAGAGACTCTAAGATGCCAAATCAACACCTGGCAGTTGTTACAACTTCAAATCAATATGAATTTTGTCGTCCAAATCATGAGATGGATCGAATCAATTCTTGTATACTACGACTGGAGCCCCGTCCAATTGCAAGGCAAGTTTTCACAAATAAACCACTCCATCTTGACGAACCGCCAAAGTATACCTACTAGGTAGTATATACTAGCAAAAGGCTCAAGTTGAATATTAATTTCTATAAACTATATTGGATATCTTCCACAAAACTGTATGAGCAAATCGGAAAATCTTATCATTTACACCATTTCCATCTCACCTCGCAAGAGATACCTCTCACACGCCATATGAAATGTCCCTCATGAAAATCTCATGAATCTGATGAATGGCCAAAATCTTCTCACGAACAATCTTGATCGAAACCATCATCATAATTTGAACATTCTCATCATCTTGTGGGACTGATTTCTGTTCCATGACTTGGTCTCCTCGGCTCACTACCTAATTCCACTCTGTTTCCATTTAAAGGATCCAGAGCAGTTGCGTCCAACTCGGAGTATTGATGGCCTGGATCGCTATATATTTGACTATTTGAAAATCTATGTGTATTGCTGTTGGGTGAAATAGGGACATCATCTTTCGGTGGCTGATAATACTCGGGTATAGCAGGAGGAATATACACAGTATTCGCCAATTCAGTTGTATGTTGCATAGGATAAGCCGGTTTTGCAATACTGGTACGATTATCGTAGAATGGGGGAGGTGAATTTGGCGGTACTCCTTGATATGGGTTATTAGGATGGGTTGTTGAGACTTGAGGTGGAGGCTGTGGTTGTGAGGGATTTGATTTCTTCTTTCTGACAAAGAAAACGATGGCAAAAATTAAGAGCGCAATTACTGCCACGCCGCCAACAGCTCCACCGATAATAGCTCCTAGTGGAACTCCAGATTTCTTGTGAGCTGTTGTAGTTGCAAACGGAGTTGCCAGTGACGATGAAGATGCTGAGCTACGTGAACCTGCGGAGGTTACTGAACTACGTGCACTTGCTGAGGTCACTGAACTTCGAGAAGCGCTGCTTATATCCTGAGCATCATCTCCACTTTGAATGCTGCTCGCTACTGAGGCGACACTTCGAGATAAAGTGACAGAAGACACGACAGTCGTTGAAGCAGTACCAGTGATTGGGTAATCGGACATGAGATAAAATGCCGGAGACGTTACGCAGCGATACATGCTTCTTTGAGGGTTGTTCCAGAGGAAAGTTGCGCAATAAGGGAAATCGGAATCGTTGCAGCATCCTGTTAACCCGCCTGCTAGAGCACAAAGCGCCGAGGACGAGGAGTAGTCAATGCAAGCGGTGAATATATCGCAGGAATTAATATCTCCAGTACAGCATCCGACAGCAGAATACGAATTATGGGCACAGTAGCCTGCTCCAGAACAAGTATAAGGTTCCGCTTCATGTTGTTAGTATATAGTCTATTTGTATGCCAATTTGACTGTTGAAGTACTAACATTGAATGCCATTGTAGTATCCGCAGGTATTATTCGCAGTTGTTTGACGTTTCAATAGATCCAACACCTTCAGAGCATTGTTCGGAGCTGCTGTTGGACTCGGACTCCACCCTCCTTGCACCGGTGCTCGATTATCAGCAGTAGATGTTTGAACTGCTGGTGTCCAGGGAAGCGCCTTCGCCAAAATTGCTGGCAAAAGACTCGAGCTCACCAGAAACAACGAAAAAATCATTTTGTGCTACCAAAATTAAATGACTACGAACGATTTGGGCGACTGACATTCAAGATCTACAATTTACGCATTGTGTTTCGAGGGGAAGAAACGCTCAAATAAATTCTCAACGGCTCGAAACCCCTACTATCCTACTGCCTATTGTACAGCACAGAAGAAAAATTGATCAAATCAGCTCATGATATTGATGGGGGTTGAGGCTCGTTTTTATGCAGCCAATTTTCTACCATGCTTAAAATAATAAAATAAGCATCATTTCCAGCCTCACGTCTGAATAAAGTTTAAGGTTCCTCCAGTTTCTCAATGTTTAAGCCCGAAAGGATCAATTTGCGGGATGGGAATTGATATGATTGGGAAGTTTGGGGGGCTTTTGGTGGGGAATCTTTCAGCTGTCAGTTGAACTAGTGAACGCCACGAGAATACGGGTCCGTAGTTGGTGAGACATTCTTGGTTGCAGGGGTCAACACGGGAGCACTCTTTTTCCACGATAACATTCAGTCCGCAGATGATCTTCTGAACGGGCTGACTCAAGAAAGATTCGGGAAAGCTTTTTCTGCCTCGCAGGATTCTGGTGGAGAAGTACTTGCGAAAAACATGGTATGTATATAACTGCCTATTGCGGAGCTTCAACCCTCTTTGAACAAATAAGGTCCCCTTTCATAACTTAAGCTGCAAGTGCAATAAAATCACTAATAAGTTCCTGCTGCAGTCGCAAAAATTTCCAGGCCTTTCTCAAATGATAAATCCCATATCAGATGCTGCGAATGCAAGTGCATCAAATTATAATTCCAGTTCGCGCGAATCCCCAAATTTTTCCTTTCAACTCTCTTCACTGGTTTGCCAATGTAGAAGCACTTGGAATTACGGTGACGTGCAAGACACACTCATGACCATCTTGGTTTTTAACGGAGCACATCTCTCCTTCTCTGATACGCCACATCCCACCTTTCGATATGCGAAATTTCTCGAGACCGAGGAATACCCATATGCTACCTTGAGCTACTGAACATACTTGTAGTCCAGTGCTTTTGCTCTTGAAGATGAAAGTTTCACGGTTTTTGATGTGCCAAATGTTGAAGTTGACGCCTCCTACATTGATACCTTGATCTTGTCGCATGGGAGATCGGATGTAGTTGTGTGAGAACGCAACGTCTAAGTAGGCAGAAACGCATTAGCAATAATTGAGATATTGAAATGGGAAATCGGTGAATGTAACTTACTTTCTTCTCTTTGCGCATCCTTTTCCATTGGATCACCGATCATTGCTCGAATCTTTCCAGTGCTAAACTCCCATTCGTCATCCTTAGGCTTGGGATCGGCTGATTTGGTTGTTGGTTTGGCGGGTGGTGGTTGAGTGGCCTGTGGACTAGGAACTTGTGTTGAGAACGTTGGTGGTGGTTGAGCAAAGGTATTACCAGTTGAGCCACGTCTCTTTCTGAAGGGTGAAGCTGGAGGTAAGATTGGAGTCGAGGTTTTTGGAGGAACATACAGTGGATTCATTCGACTCGGAGAAGGCTGTGGGAGAATTGGAGGTGGCGGACCATGGCTCGAGGATCTTTTTGGTCGGGTAGGAGGAAGAATTGGACTTGACGTTGGTGGTAAGATTGGACTGTGAGATCGAACAGGTAAGGTAGATGTTTCGCGCAGAGCTGAACCACCATTCATCTCAAACCTTTCAGTTTCTGCGTCCTCTTCCTCATCAACAACGTGCGGTGGGCGATAGTTACTGCTGGGTTCTTCAAAATGCACGCTCTTAAGCTTCTTCGTCTTCTTCTTCTTCTTATGTTGAGAATCACTAGGATGTGGTAAGATCGGCTCTCCTAACTCCACGCTCATATCTCCCAAGCCCCCGCTCATTAATGTGTCTTCTTGTTGCTGTGATTGAGAAGACTTGTGCTTCGACTTCTTATGGTGAGTTTTCTTTTTCTTATGCTCTTGTGTTCGATTGTCTGGAGAGCCGTTTGCATTTGGACTTTTGGAGCTAAGATCGTGAACCTGATCGGGATCATGTTCGCGTTTGACGCCTTTGTTAGGACGGTACCCGCTGCTGCTGGGAAGAAGAACCATTGGGTGCGCTATTATGTTTGAGTTGAATTGTTAGTTTGATTCTTGTTTTATCAAGTTGGATTAATATAAGATATGGGTGTAGTTTGCAGGAAAGAAATGGGTAGGAAGAGAGGAAGGCACAAAGCTGCGAATTGCAAGGCAAGCAAAGATCGATTCAAAGTAACTTACACATCTTTGATAAATCCGTTGCGCACACGCGTTTGTATGCAATGCGACGAGTTGAAGCTGTTGCTCCTTTAGTTGTTGAAGTTGTAAAGAAAACAAGAGGATAGAAATTTTCAGACGAGAGATGGGAAGACGAGAAGAAAGATCGATTGCGATTCTCAGTTTTGGAAACTGAATTCTTTTACTTTATTTGACCTATCTTGTTTTCTTTTTCCTTCAAGAAGTGAAGCTTTGAATCTTTTATTGTTGACCTCGGACCTGAAAATGATAGTGAATCTGATATATTTTTGGTATATTTTTGGCGGGGAATTTTGATTGGCTGAGGTTTGTTTGTTTCGTTTGTTGTTTGCAGGGTTTTCGGTCGTTTCTTTTGTCGGATGAGGTGTATGCATAGTACCTAGGGACCTACCTAGTCGGTATACAAACAGGAAAATGTGTATGGTATATGGGTGGTCGCATAGCCTTTTTTTATGGTATGTTTGTAATAACAATCATATATCAATCGCCCGAGTGCTCCTCTCTAAGCTTTTGCTTCCATGGTGCCAATCCTTTTAAATTTTCAGAATCTGAGATGCTATTGATAGTATTGCACTCTTCTTGAAGGGGTATGATGTTTGGATCTCAGGAGTTTCTACATCCTCATTTTTCGAACTTCGAGAAACAGCCTGATCGACACAACTTATCAGGATATCTCCTTCGTTGGGAGATTTCTATTGACAATGCTCTCTGCTCTCTGCTTGCTTATTATCTGAGACAAGATGACATAAACTGTCGCTGCGTCCACCTCCAAGTCCATTGTCTCCTTGTCGAACAAAGTCAGATCGGCTGCATAGCGTATTTTGTCATACAAATCAAGATGCCGCGTGAACAACGCTGTGCCAAATACCTGCCAAACTTTGGCGTTTCCCGAGCTTCCAATTTTACGCAGTAGAAGAGCTCTCGAGACCCCGCTGATCCAACAAACAAGGTCTTTAGGTCGGGCCTGGCTTGTCGCAATTCCCATTTTCCAGGGGGTTTCTCTGCGGTAGTAGTTCTTGGCGAGGAATAGACTTGAGCTAGGAGCCGTCGTTGAGATATCTTGTGATGTAACAGAGTATTCGGGTTGTAGTTGTTTAATAATGCACTGTAAATAGATTCTGGGGTTCTGTAATAGTTACACGACTTTTTCCAAGACACACTACTCATGTGACTGAAAGAAATTGATTCTAGTTCGGAGTTTTTCGACTCTAAAAGATAGTTTATCAGTTCATCACTCTCACGATGAGCTTCACCGAGCCCTTCTGGGAAATTTTGCGAAATTTCAGAGTCCCATTGATCGGCCTTTTGCATATTCGGAACTATCTCCGTAGGGCAAGGACCGACAGCTACTATGCATCCGACGACATAGCCTTGGAGTCCAAATACTCTGGGACTTTTGTTTTTGGTGTCTTCCATGCAGAGGGTCGGAATAGATTGCGAACAGTTCAATGGTAGAGCTTGTTCAAGGGGCCCCGAGTTGGCTCTGATCAACAGACTCTTGACGAGTTCTCCAAAATGAATACCATGGTCACTGGAGAGACACCCGTCACGATTGAAAAACACCATTTTATCCGCGCATACTTCAACCAGAGTTCTGTTGTAGTCCATGTGAAATCCGATGGTATCAGCTGCTAGACCAACTAAGCCGTATATCTTATCTCTTGGCTCCGTGCATAGAGCTTCTCGATGATCACACAGGAGCTTGCGAAAAATATAGGTACCGGAATATTTCTCTAGAAGCAGTGAGTTTAACCTCAAAGGACCCTGATTAATATTCTCGTGCAAAGTTACCATTTCGATGAATGCCTTCCAAGACATGGCAATTTCACCAAAACGAACTTCCATCTGCCGTGCTCGTCCAATCTCTTGAACTATCCATAACCTGCTCCAGTATCCATCCGCGCATAGCACTTTAACCATCTCTCGTTCCTCATTTTCCGCATTGTCTTTTGGCCCTGCAACCAATGATTCGAGCATTTCCTCCGACCGAACTGTAGTCTCTGAGGTGATATCTGATGCCTGCGGACCTTCTGAATGTATTTTTTTCGAAAACGAAACGATCATTTCGAGCTCTGGCCACCTACTTGTTTCTCCCGTACTTCTTTCCTAGCCACACAACAACGGTTTCTGCTCGGAAATATATCCATTTCATTATCATCAGTTGCCTATTCCGTTCAGGAATATTGTTTTGATTGACGCAAATCGCATGGACCCAGAACTGCGACTGCATTCCCGATTTGCGAAGGCAATGGAGAGCGTCCCAAAGATTTTAACGAACTTGGAATTCAGCTCTATTGAGCATAATTGTTTCGTTTTCAGTGCCGTCTCCCCACATGTATGACAGCGCTCTAAATCTAGACTTTTCGCCAAATTCGGTACTGACCAACTTGCACGACAGCGTATCGTTCTCATTCAGAGACTGTTCTATCGTTATACCCGGAAAGATTCACTATCAGAATCCGAGTCCAGCGGCTCGCAAGTGAAAGATCCAAGGGGCTGAGATGCATCGTCAACAAATATAGACTCTCCATCATTTCGATATCGTGCTTGACTGGCCGCCATGATGCTTGTTGATACTTTCACTATTTGCTGATATCAAAAAAGACAGTGTTATTATGATGAGATGAATGGACTTCCTGGATACACCAATGTCGGACTCCCAAGATTATGTGTTTGCTTGCATGCCCAAGCTTTAGTGGTGTGTAGTGTTGCAGCTCAGCCGAGTTTCCTAAGCTGGATATGGTTAGTGTTAAGGCAAGACCGATAGGCTTGCTGACTACTCTGATTGTTAGATCTTTCAGAATTACACTTCAGCATATCAATGATGTTTGAACTTTGCTACGAGAAAAATTAACAGTCCGCTCTGTAGCGATTTTACTCAACGGGGCTTACTCGTCAGAAGGAAAAATGTTTTCATGTCTTCGTTGCCGTGGTTCTAGCGAGCTAGAGCTATCTAGGTAGGTAGTTGATAAAGAGATTTCCCTGGTATATCAACTCACCAGAATATTCTCGTTTGTGTCAAATAAAAGGTAGTATGCATGGACCCGCGGACTGTGAAAATGAGCTCAATTTAACTAACTACCTAGGCACTAACATTCCATAAAAACAATAGGAAATCAAAACCAGAACGACCCAGACACAATGATAACAGAGATATGAAAACAAGACAAGGAACTAGGTGGCCACCTAGCGCGCAAGTCTGATGGCAGGTCCAAAGTGGAGCCAACTTTTGATTGATCCTTTTCGAACTGCTGTGTCGAAAACCAGATGCTTTAAAGCTCTCTAGTTGCAGGTCAAATCACCGGTCTTTCCGTCGTATGTGCAGCGGGAGTTATATCTGTAAGAAAGCTAGGGAGATGTTAGTATTATTTTCTAGCAGACAGGAACGGTCTTCTTACGTTGATATATCCACCCTCGGATCGGGTATAGAATGCGTTGTTTCCACTTATGTACATGCAGTCGTAATCAGTGTTGAGAAGACCAAGAGAAAGCTTGGCGCTGACTTTTCCGGCGATACCAGCAGGGTTCCTGACGGAGTATCCCTTGTTGTAGCACACGACACCGGGGTATTTGTTGTAATCTGGGTTTCTGGACCACATGTTGGCAGTGGTTGCTTGAGTGAATTTCTCACGGACCTGGAAAATATCATTAGTGCCATCTCATATGTGAAAATCTCTTTGGGGTCTCCATGTTTCAGAAGCAACTTACGGCATTCCATTGTCCAAGGTTCCCAAGGGTTTGTTGACCAAGCTCAATGGCGATCTTGGTCAAGATAGCGATACCCTTAATGGCGGCGATTCCAGCTATAGCTACGACTGGCGCAACGCGCTTTTGAAGTGCTTGGGAGGGCTCATCGTCAACCTTTGCCACCAATGATCCAGAGCCATCAAATACTCCACTGAAGTGGCTTTCAATTGAATCTGGAACAACACTGTTGGGGGCAGTGGAGAGTGGCATGTCAGCGGAAGTTGTGGCTGCTGCTTGTGGGAGAGCAGCTCCTTGTACAATAGCAGCGCAAGCGAGGAGAGTGATAACTGAGAACTTCATTTTGATGATAGTGAGTGATTGATTTTTCTTTGAAAAGAGAGAATGGATTCGAAAACGAATGTTAAGTGAATGTGAAGTGAGTGTGTTTGGTTTGTTTGTAAAGTGAGTGTAGAATGGATGTGATGATGATGATGATTCGAATTTGAGGGGAAACGAGAGAGGTTTATATACTCTTCGATCCTGATATAACTTTCATCCTCTTCGATCTAGTTCATCTTGTCTGTCCATGTTGAACACCAAGGTAGTTCAGAACAGAGTCTCTTCTCACCGCACTCATTCAATCACCTTGATACTGCACCAAAGGGTCCAAGGAAACTCTATTTCTATGGCAAAATACCATCTTCTTCTCCTTGGCAATGAAAACCAGGTTGTCTTGCAAACACAGTAAAAGTTTATTACCACTCTAAAGATTACTTGGGCGCAGTAAAATGAAGACTTTGGAGGAGGAAGAGATTGGCTTGGCGACAATGCTCGCGAATTTCTGTGGTGGACTTCCACAAAGGAGTGAAGAGTTATTTTCGTCGTCAAAGTGGTTTCACGATAGCTCGATGGCCGTGCCATTTTACCTTAGTAGTCACGTGATTCTCCAGAGGAGGGGGTAGTTGGGCCAAATCAAGAGAAGATCCACGTTAGCTAGAGCTTGGACAACTATGCAGCACATGCCTTCTTTGGACAAGCTTGATGACATCGCATAGTTTCTTAATTTATAATTATCCGCTGGCGCCTTGGACTTTAGTGGTGTTTGCCGGTTCGCTGCGCCTAGAGCGTTTGACGAGCGGTGGTCTGGTCTAGCTTAACCGAGCTTAACTCATAAGCTACCGCTAAGACGGATAGCTCCGAAACATGGGATTTAATTTAGCTGGGGCCTAAAATGTGGACGAAGAGAACCAGTGCACCAAAAGTTTGCACACTCAAATTCTTTATCAAATCAATCTATCAATATTCTCGATTATGAGCTGAGCTCAAATATTGAAAAGCTTATGATCCGTACTTCGGCTTTACCTCACTACATCTGTTACGATTCTATGTAATGTTGTTCAATTTCAAAATGATACTATCTTTAAGAGTCTCCATTTTGACGAGTTGCGTTCTTCGTTCACGGTGAGGTAGGCGAATTCGGGACCGGTAGTTTGAACCCTCTTAATAATAAGCATATGGAAAATTACTTGGGGTGCTCATCCCTGTGAGAGAATTTTCTAAGCATACAAATTTGATGGTAGAACATATAGTGTCCTTTCGAAGACTTCGCTTGGCCTTTCCCAATTTGGAAAAAGTCGAGAGGATTTAGAGTTTATGAACCCTTTAAGATGGGGGACCTGGAGACTTTGATGGCTGTGCTCTGAGGGTGAAGCCACACTATTCTCATTGCGCTAACCCCAAAATATGATCCATCTAGACACTAAATGGAGGACTGCAGTTACTTGGCAAGGCTTTGGTACTTTACAGCACAATGCCCATCAACACGCATTTGGAGAGATGCTTGACTTTCTCTTGGAAATGTGAATGATAGAGGATGTGCAATGAAATTGCAACGTTAAGAGTCTTCTTTAGATATCTCCAAGCTTTTCAAGCCTCTCGTGATTCTTCAACAATTTTAAAAGTACGTCCTTCCAATTTAGGATGTATTCAAAATAACCTTTCCAAGCGCAGTATGACTATGCAAGTTGGGGTTAGTGGCTCTTGGTAGGAGCGTTTGACGAGAAGATCTTGGTTCCTGAGTACCGAGGAATATGCCGAAGGGGCGTGCAACAGGTATCAGCTTCAAATGAAATCATCAAAACACAACGGGATGAACTCCTGTTGATTTTCTGAAACCTTGCTTTCCTCGTGTAAATCCTTATCTTCTCGTATTACATATGTGAGAAACAAAAATCTCCCTTCCATCTCTTTCATACTTTCGCTATTGAGAACTTGGAAACTCATCCCTTGACGTTGAAACAAGAACACGAGGGGATATGAAATTCGGAATATGAAAAAAATTTATTGGACAATTAGGATCTGAACTCAAGGTATCAGATACGGGTGTGAAGCGTGGGTAATATCCGTTGAGGTGAGGGCAATACCCGTTGAGGTGAGGGGCTGGTGGTGGAATGGGTATGTAGAGAGAGACTTTAGAGCTGATGTGGAGATGTGGAGATTCCAGGGTTTGGATCTGCTGGCTATATTTCCTACATTTCTGGTTAGAAAATCGGGCAATAATTTGACTTATTGAATGCCCAGCAATTTGAAGTGATGTTAACGGATTTGTCCAGGTTAATTCAGTCAACATTAGGGAGGTCGTGGGAATACAGATAATCTGTTTGAGTGTGATCTAAGAAACGACTTTCCTGGATCTCCGGAATTCCCTCCTGTTCAGAATTTTTCTCTTTTCTTCTTCCCTTCTTTTCTTCTCTTCTCTCTCTTCTCCCTTCACATTTCTTTACTTCTTCCATTTATTTCTTTCCCTTCTGATTGTCTCTCTTTATTATGTGGTCTATCTGTTGCGGATTCGAACACATAGAGATGGATGTACCTATGAACGTATATATATATGTTCACTCTCGGCGCATTACATTGGTTTAACAACCTGTTTGACAAGATATACTTCATAATTTACCCCTATTAGTGACACCTGGTTCTTATGGAATTTTGCACTCGCTATATGGGCTTAGAATGAGTCAAAACAATCATAACACTACACGTACATGCGTCTACACATCTTCGATCCATCCATAAATCCAGTACCATCATTATATTAGCATACTAGACCTTACATATAGACAGATCATACATAATTAATCATTGCAACAACCTTGAGACTGCTATAAAATTCTAAATTTCCTGATTTTCTGACAAGTGATTTGATACATACAAGTAAAAACAAAGAGATAATTGACTTTGTATCACCTTGTCCCATCATTCTTCCCGAAAACATTTATCTCACGGCATATTATATTTCTACCAAGACAAGAAATCAATCATCCTATGATTCCTATCCAAAATCAGTTAATACAGCCAGAGAAAAAAAGCGTAAGCCACAGCTACAGATCCACATCACCCGATATCGGCAAGCCATCCAAATTCCTTCCATCTCGCTTAACCACATCCAACCCCTTAGGAATGTAATCTCAACTCCCGAGCCCCAACGCCACGATTGGGAATGCATTCTTTAAGAAATTTGCTAGCCCCCTGAGTGAATAAAACAATTACTGATGATAGAAAAATTCCTCCATATCTTCGATAAAAGTAAGACCTCCCGCCTTCTATTTTTATTTTTTTCTTGATCTCTCTCCGTCATAAGTAAGATATTCACCCAGCCACTTTTCCTGTGTGCTCTATAAGAAAATTTCACCTGATGCGGCGAAAAACGTGATGCTTATCTTATTTTTGGTTTCCAGGAGCGGAAGGAAAGGATTTGAAAATCGTCATGATAATTGAACAATTGATGATTGAGAGTTGTGGTGATGCATTTGGAGATTTGCGTTTGGATGTAAATGGATATATAGATAACTATGATGATAAAAAGATTTCCATCATTATCGTCATCATCCTTTAATTTTCATCTCCCTAATTTAAAACACATACTCTTACATTAGATCCTACTACAGATGACATAACCACTCAACCCCATCCCCATCTCAACCCGTTCCTCAGCAACGCTCCACGCCACCATGACCAAAAAGCCCTACCCCGTCCTTGCACCCCGCGGCCAAATTCCCATCACGCATCTCCCACACCTTACACCATCACTTACCCCACGAATCTCGCTCACTCAACGTATTTTAACACCGCTTATTGTGTGCGCAACATTGGTTATTCTGCTGCTGTGTGTTGTGACAGGTATTGTGTTGACGGTTAAGATTTTTGGGGATGGGCATGCGCTTGCGCTTGTGTTGAGAGTTGGGACGGGGTTTGTGGTTGTTGGGGTGAGTTATGTTTTTCTGATGTTTTTCTTCCCTCCTCCCCTCCTCCCCCCCTTCCCCCCCCGAGAGTAATTTTTTTTACAAGGACTTGATTGTATTTTTAGCGAGAGAAGAATGAACGAAGACGAGAGTGAACATGGAGCAGAATAATAAAAAGAGATCTTCTTTACAGCATAACAATTACTAACACATTCCAGTCCTCACTCACTCTCATCTATCTCATCCTCCATATTTCCGCCAGTATTCAAAACAATCCCGTAGGTTTTGTGCGTCCTCCAGAGTTGAAACTGCACGCGTATAGCTTCATTACTGCGCGCGTTACACTTGTCTCGTGGATGCTATCAATCATCGTATCCAGCGTCGTTGTATCGAAATCGAAAGTGTGTGTTCCAGAAACAACGGATTGTAAGGTGCAGATTGGAGGGCTGGTTTTGAGTTGTGTTGGGTTGTGAGTTCTCTTTTTTCTTTCTTCCTGTGTATTGCATGTTGTGATTGATATCATGAGTGAACTTCACGTGATACAATGCAGGAGGAGAATTGTTGTTAGACCTAGCTAATATTTCACCACTACAGTGTAGCAACAGGAATCATCCTCACCGCTCTCGAGGCCTGTCAATATCCTTTCCAACTCCCGGCCCGTACCAACCTTCTCCAAGACGGAGAAATCAACTGTCGAGTTTCTTCCTTCGGCGACGATCTTGTAGATAGCAATCTCACCTCCCTCAATCCCTCTGCTGCAAATATTTTGCAGTCACATTTGGCCAGTGCATCAGCTAGTGCCGATTCCATACCATCGCTTCCTGACGATTACCTGTTTATGGAAAACGAAAGGGAAGAGTGGGAAAAAACTTATTCGCTTGCGTTAGCGAAGGAGAGAATTACTAGAGAGACGAATATTAAGAGGAAACCTGTGCCTACTGAAACAGCAATAGAAGAGGGACTACCGAAATCTGAGTCTCAGATTAGTGTGAATTCTATGCCAGGGGAGTTTCCTGAGGAAAGAGAAAAGATTGTGCCGTTAAGACCGAGATATACACCTATCTCTGAACCTGTCTCTACGTCTTCATCTACACCTGTATTATCGCAAGAAAAAGAGAAAGAGAAGGAAAAGAGCAAGGGCTGGGGAATTGGCTGGTCATATCTCACAAGAGATACGACCACAAACTCTGGTACTGCAACGGAATCAAACGATAACGAGAAGTGCGTAACTCAATCTGATTCAGCGATATCATTGGGTGCCCCCTCAAATCCCAGTACCGGGCATAGTACGTGCGGCACTTGCGAGCATCCAAACTCGAAATCTCCCAATCACTTTATATCGCAGAGAATAGGCAGACAAAGGAACGTAACACCGAGTAGTAGTATAATCGACGCTTCAATGCGATCTCCATTATCCACCATGCGGTATGTATTTACTATTCCCAAAACAACAATCATATTAATGAAATCAGAACCGCCGAGTCTCCAGAAATAGCCATCAAGCCCGATGTCGCTTTAGTTCCAACCACCATTCCTTCATCACTGGATCGAATATCTCCCCGAAAACCTCCTATTACTCAACCGTTACCAATTGCAATTCTGAACGAAATGATGATAAGGAGACCATCCATTCCTGCTCCTTCTAGAATGCCAGGAGGATTTACGAAAGAATATATTCAATCACCTCCTACGCATATCACACCTCTCAAAAGGAAACCAGTGGAAAGCGATAAAATTCTCAACCGTCCGCCCAAATCTTGGAAAGACGCTCTTCCCGTACGAGGTGGGAGTTTCGAAATCGAACGAAAACCACTTGCTTCAAGCAAAGAAATCCCTTTCCATACACCCAAAAATCTCGCTTCAAATTCTAAACCAAAACAAAAAGCCGCAGAACCTAGACCATCATTAAAATCATGGAAAGATTCTCTACCCATTCGAGGAGGAAGTTTCGAGCCGCAAAGATCCACAGCGAACATTCGAGATGTTTTCCCCAATATTACACGAGGACCTCTTAATCAAAATAATAGTCACAATCATAATCCCAAACCAGTGTCCCCATCTACGACCACTAAAGCGACACCCCTCACCCCCAAAAAGAAGACCTCGAACCAAAAACCCACTCACACACCCCACCGATCACCCAATACCGCCATCGTGATCAAAAAACGCAGCACAGAGATGCAAGTCCCCGGCGCATTTATCGAGTGTTCCAAGCCCGGAACGACAAAAGAACGACCCGCTAGTCGAGAGATGAAAATCCCTGGTGCATTTATCGAAAGTTTTCCTTCGACTCCTGAATTCGAGAAAAATCATGAAGAAGAAACAATTGTTCAGAAAAAGCCACAGGGAGTGAGACCGTTGAAATTACGTCCGAAAGGAAAAGTTCTTGAGAAAGAGAAAGATAATCAGAAGTCAAAAGAGAAAATAAAACCCAAACCGACAGAACCTAGAAATTCAAAGCAAACAAACAAAACTCCTGAGATTGACGAACCAGAAACTCTTTACAAACCTGCACCTCTCGGACCTCGCCCCTTCAAAAGAAGATTATTCGGGAGAGCGAATCTTGAGACTGCAAAAAATGGGAACGGGGTAGAGACTACACAATTATGGAGGGGGATGGACAGCTGGGCGCGGGTGGAACCGTTGAGGAAGTTGAGTCTGGGGGAAGTGTCGAGTGGGATGGGAAATTTGTGGGATGATTGATTGATTTATTGTATTAAACTTGTTTCTATGGGTTTGATGAGTGGAGGGATATTGGGGGTAGATAGATAGATGATAAGATGTAATTTAATACCGGAATGTAATGTGAAGTGATTTGGTGAGGTAGAATAGATAGATAGATACCTCGCATAATTTCTAATCAAGCAAGGTGTAAAAATGGATTTGAAATCTTGAAATGAAAGAACACGTGAGAGATTACTCCCACCAAGATAATCACTTAGAACATTCAAAAAATTGCGACACAATTGCTCAATTATCCCCAAAATACCATATCATTTAACTGAATCATAATTAAACCACCCTCATAGGAATATCCCACCCATAAACACGCAGCTCAGCTATTCCATTCCCACACCTCCTAGAACAATGGAGTGATTCCATGCTTCTCAGCCTGCAACTGCGCCGTCAATGCCACAGCCGAGTTACAACCACTAGCGATCGCAGCCGGAGTAGCCTTATACGGCGTAATACAATCTCCGGCCGCAAAGACACCCCGAACACTGGTTTGATGAAACGGCGGAGGTGCCAGAATATCTCCCGCAGGACTAAGATCCAGACCCAGCTGTTCAACAAACGGGCCTTGAACTGTAGTCTTCGGGTTGTGAACCAAGAATGCTTCTTCTTTCTCTGAACCATCTGAGAAGTGCATTGTGACTGAAGAACCGCCGTTATCAACGAGTCGTTGGATCTTGCGTGTGTCAATCTTGAATGGAGTTTTGACGAGTGGACTAAGCTTTGCGGCTATTTCTTCATCGCCATGTGTGTATAGAGTGACCTCTTCGCTGAGTTGGGCGGCATTGGCGGCTATAATCATGTGAATACCGGTCATGGGATTGAGGGGAGGAAGAACGAGAACGCCTGTAGATTTAGCGCCGCGGTCTTCATAGCCGAAGCAAAAAAGGCAGTGAAAACTATGTAAATACGAATAGAGTCCGTCAGTAACCAATCTAGTTTGATGTGATAGCTTTAGGTGCTCATAAATGATTCATATTGACTTACATTCTCTTTGTCCAAAGCTCAGCGTAGCCCTCGATTTCGGGAAAAGTATCAGTCATACCCACTGCCAGTATGACTTTTCTAAAGTTCCATTCTTTCGCATTTGCGTCGACGAGGATGAAGTGAGAGTCTGTTTTCTTCTCGATGCTTGTGACGCCAACATCAAGAAATTGAATCGTAGAGTAGCGCGCCAAAATGCTATCCTTAGTCGCAGCTCGGAAGTCCTTTGGATCTTTATGATCCCAGGTAGGAACCATGTGCATATGAGCCGAATTCTTATTACGGTAGGTTTGGGTGTCAAAAACCACCGCAGTATGAAGTTGGCGAGCGAGAGCACCGGCGGCAGTAAGTCCAGCTGGACCTCCTCCGATGATGGCAACGTCGATGAAATCCATGATGAAAGCTATGCTATTGAAGTGAGTGACTTATTCACTTTTTTACTGCTATACCACCACAGCTTCTTGCTAGATTCTGGACTTTTATTGTTCCTTGAAATCCAATACTCCCGAGGTCTACTTGCATCATTTCAAACCTCCCCAAGAAAGCTTGACCATGGAGTCGTCTGAGAATGTTATTACCAAGCCAAATCGTACTCGCCTAACGCTTATTATGGTTGGCATTTGTCTGGCAGTCTTCCTCACAGGCATGGTATGGTAACCACACACATCCCAAGTAGCCTTTTACCTTCTTAAATTTTGGGAGCTAACTTTTTGCTTTCTTAAACAGGATCAAGCCATCTTAGCTACGGCAATCCCCGTCATCAGCGTCGAGTTCAACACATCGCAAGACATTGGATGGTGGGCTAATGCCTATCTTCTTACTCTGAGCGCCTTTCAACTGTTCTATGGTAAACTTTACAGTCATTTTCCCATCAAAAATGTTTACCTTGTCGCTATTGTCATCTTCGAGATTGGATCTCTTATTTGCACAACAGCACATTCCTCCATAACCCTGATCGTCGGTCGAGCAATCGCTGGACTGGGTGCTGCTGGGGTTTTTTCGGGAAGTGTGTTGATTACTACCAAAGTAATCCCGCTGGCTCAGCGTGCTGCGTACTTGGGTATCATGTCCGCTGCATTTGGATTGGCAGCTATTCTTGGACCGTTCCTAGGAGCTGCTATACTGCAATCGACTACATGGAGATGTTGTTTCGGCATTAACTTACCGTTAGGAGCAGTAACGGTAATCTTGTGCGGCATTCTGGTACATACACCATCAGATCCAAGTGCACAATCACTCAGTCTCGTGCAAAAGGCACTGCAGCTTGATATCCCTGGAACGGTATTCATGGTTGGATCTTTGATCTGTCTTCTCATGGCTTTACAATGGGGTGGCGCTGCCTATCCTTGGAGTAATGGTCGGGTTATCGCTCTTTTTGTCGTATCCGGTATCCTCGCTATCGCTTTTATAGCTACCCAGACGACCAAGATTGCCGGAAAGGCTCGCATGATTCCAAGCAGCTTAGCGCGTAATCGTGATATATGGCTGGCCGGAAGTTATGCTATGTGTATAACGGGAGGTGTCTATGTTGCCATTTTGTTTCTACCTGTATGGTTCCAAGATGTTCGCGGTCGATCACCTCTTTCTTCGGGTGAACTGTTGATACCGTTGATCGCTGGTTACGTTGTGGCTTCAATCTTAGCCGGAGGCATCACCAGTGGTTTCAAGTATTACAATCCAGCCATGATCATTGGAACTGCACTATCAATTGCTGGAGCTGCTTTACTCACTACTATCAACCTACATTCTTCTACAGCAAGGATTGTCGGTTATCAACTTGTGTATGGCTTTGGAGTTGCGTTTGGTTTTGGTCAGCCAAGTTATATCGTTCAAACACTGTTACCGGAAAAAGATGTTCCCATCGGTGTGACATTTATAACTCTTGTCCAAAATCTCAGTGCCTCGGTCTTCGTGGCAGTAGCACAAAGCATTTTCCAAGGGGAGATGCACAAACGTCTTGAGCCGCTTTTGCCAAAATCTCCCAACTCATCTTCTATCTTGCTAGCTGCCTTACCCCAAATCCCGTCATCGTTGCCACTGGAGACTCAAGAAACAGCAAAGATCGCCATTAGTGATTCCATAATCCGGACATTTTATGTGTCGCTAGCGTTAAGTTGTGTATCTGTTATTGGCGCTTTGGCTATCAAGTGGGTTCCTATGCAAGACCCTGCCAAACAAGATCCTGTTAAACAAGACACACCTTCTCCTGAAGAGATCACACAGGACCAAAATGGAAGTGAAAATGAAAAGCAAGGTGAAACGCAAAGTGAAAAGCAAGATGTGAACATCACTGCAGCTTAGTTTCAGACAATAGCAACAACATCAACAATTGCAATTTTCTCGCGCAGTTTTGTCTGAGGTAGACGTTTCGACTGGAAAAACTGAACGGTTATAGAAGACGAGACTTCCTTAGGGTTCCTTTCCTGTTTCAATATTTCAATCTTTTTCTCCTTTTCTTTCCTCTTGAGCTTAGAATCTTTTATTTTACCGTAATGGAAGAAAATCTATCAAACATATCCTGCTTACTCGAGTACGACTCTTTAATCTGTATTTTTTAAGATGTAAATTTGCACTTCAAGTCGATGATATTAAAAACCCATCTACCCAATCTTAATACTGTGAGATAAATTTATGATATAAGCTCAATATTGAAATGAAAACCTGCTTAGGATCATAAGAGTGACTTGTTTTTAATCATATCCCTCTTCTTTCGTATTCTTCAAATGAAATGAAAAGACTTCTGTTTGCATTGATTCTTGAAGACGTAGTTAGAATATTTCTTTCCTCTATCCTCATTTCAATGACCAACGATCCTATCAATTCTCAGAACTCCTCGAAAACATCCAGGAAGCCGAAACTCACCATTGGCTACAGTAATCAACGGTCTGGATCCACGTGAAGGAGTGATAAAAGGTCCAAGATAGAATTCGAAGCTATCCCCCTTTCCCCTTTTTATCACTCCCAAGTACCCCTAAACCGATCACAAAAGCAATAGAACCTCGAATCAACTTCGAGATTGTAATAACTAGGACTAAGATTGTAAATCAACTACACTTCGAGCGGAATCCATGATTAGTTCCATCAACTCGAAACTCTGCAATAATTGGTCAATTCGAAATGATACCTTTTCCCAATCTTGAATATTATAAATTTCAAAGAATGCCTCTTCATGAATCATCTATTATATGATAGTAGATAGATATCAATTTTCTCAACTCTGAGTGATACCCCCTTTCTGCTATCCGAGATTTACTAATTAATTTCTCCACAACACTATCTTCAATCAATCACAAAATTATAGTTACTATCTTCAATTCATGGGGGCAAGCCCCCAAACCCCCATAGCTCGCTGCGCTCGAAGATATAACTTTTTGGGCTCGTTCAAAATTCGGTCTATTAAACATCTCTATCGTCCACGCGAGCTACGAGGTGTTCTCATTAGTTTCTCCATTAAAAATAATAGCAGCCCATAAATTCTTATTCGAAACAAATTTTATGTTGATTGTATCAATTTATAATTTGCAGTAGGATTAATTCTCCGAAACGGATAAGTTGTTCTAAGAGTTGAGGCCCCGGCTTATCGCACACTACCCTTTTTCGTAACAAAATCCCTGCAAAAAAATCGTTTTCCCATATAAACTAATTTCTCTAATAATTTATTTGATAATTGAAGTAATAATTTCAAAATTTTATGTATAAGAGTTTAATATATACATAATCTTAAAAATAAAACAGATTATTTTTAATATTTTTTTGAAAGAAATTATAGGATCTTGAAGTTGAAAATTTTCGAAATTTATCACATGTAACGCTTTTCCCATACAAAAAAATCGATTTTTTTGAAAATTTTGAAAATTCTAACTTTAAACCCCTACAACTCTTTCAAAAAAAATCATAAAAATAATCTATTCATTTTTTAAAATAATTTTGATAATTGTTTACTATATTCCTCAATTTGAATAATTCAATCCACATATTTATCGAAATTTTATATAGTTAAAAAGTTGAATAAATGAAGGTTTTTGCTGTGTTTTCGCTTAGTGTGCGATAAGCCGGGGCCTCAACTCTTACATAGACGCTGACGACGACAATGATAGATCAACTGAGAAGTCAAATCTCGATTCTCAAAACGCAACACCGAAACCAATAGCGATATAGAAGAAGACTCTTTTCTCAATACCATTGAAAATAACGAAACCCTAACAGATTACAAAGTTATAAGCGAAGACATATTTTTCCAAGAAACTTATACATCATTTTATATGAAAAGCACTATGAATCAACACTCTCAATCAGTTCTCAAAAATAACTATATCTACATAAGAAAAAGTAATCAAGAAACCATTACTCCAGTCACTCTACCAAATAAAAGCAAACGCATTATCTTCCAAACCTACCAAGCAACCAACACATGCGTAGCTCAAGCCTGAGATTCATACAATCGTTAAAATAAGAGTTCTGGAATCTACTTACTGTACATATAATGCTTTTCCAGCTAAAATATAGGATTATTCAACTTTTTATATTCTAATTTTTATATTATAATAAAAATAAAATCAGAAATTCTTTTGGGAAGTGTTATTTAATTAATCAAATCTAATAAAAAAATGAATAGAATATTTTTTTCTAATTTTTTAAATAGAATTTAAAGGAATTAAAGTTGAAAATTCGAAATTTTTATAAAAATTCGTTTATTTTGTATAGGAAAAATGTTATATATTAGAATTTTTAGAAAAATTCGATTTCAATATTATATAATTATTTAATAAAAATAATGAAAAATATTTCAAATAATTTTTTATATTTTGATTATAATTATTTATTATTTCCTATTTTTTTTAAAAAGAAAATATAAAGATTTGAATGAGATTCCAAATATAATAATTTGTATAGGAAAATCTCATTTTTGTAGGGATTTTGTTATATTTGTTATAGGGGTACGGTAAGTAGATTCCAGAACTCTTACAATGAAATACAAATCCGCCCACCAATCTTCCACTTCAGAATTCCAATCCCAGAGATCCATCTATATCTACAATTAACAAACTCCTACTACCTTACTTCTATCAATTCAATATACCTAAACTAAGTATACCAAAAACCAACTTCCACAACCTCCGTACCTTCCTTCTCCACCACGGCCAGAAAAAAAGAGAGAGACACTTATAATCCACCCTCCAAACACTCAAAAAAAGAGCATCCCATCTTCATCAAACTCAACACCTTATACTATATATCTAACCAAACCCATTCCCACCCCACCCCATCAATTTCAAGACACAAGCGCATGCGAAACCACAATTACCGGTATCAAAAAACATCCAGAAAGTAAGTAAGTAAATAACTCAATATCACGCTGAAGATCTGCATCTCCATCTTCATTGCCATGATACCAATATTAATAATCCCCAAAACCAAGAAATATCGATATATATCAAAACACCCATACTTTTATTTCCGATTTCCAATTTCTGTATTCTGTTATCTAGTATTGCTCCTCCAAAAGACAAAACACCAAGATATCGAAGTAGAAACAAATCCAAATCCAAATCCAATCCAAATCCAATCCAAATCCAAATCCAATCCAAATCCAATCCAAATCCAATCCAAATCCAATCCAAATCCGATCCAATACGCACCCACCTACCAACCTACAATCCTCCATCCATCCATCCATCCACTCAAAAGACAAAAGCTATATACCCAGTAGTTCAAGACCATACACATCGATACATAAACATCGATATGAAGAAATCGCGATTATGAGATATTCTCCGAGTATGGGACTTTCCCCTCTCCCCTCTCCCCTCCTAGTATCTTCCAGCCCCACAACTTCTCCCCCCCTTTATCCTTTCCACTTTCCAAAACTTCCAAAACCTCCAAAACCTCCAAAACCTCATTCAAATCAAAACGAAGCGATCAGAGAAGCCGAGCTGAAGTAAAAAAAAGAAGATGAAAAAGAAAATGAAAAAGAAGATAAAAAAGAAGATAAAAAAAAAGGATGAAAAAAAAGGATGAAAAAGAAGATAAAAAAAAAGATGAAAAAGAAGATGAAAAAGAAGATGAAAAAAAAGTAAATCTTATAAATCACATGATTAGTTCTTGAATCTTCGTTTATTTATTACCTATTACTTGAGTATCTATTCTTAATTTGTGATTTGAGAGAGAGAGTATGAGTGTGTATATATATATGTATATAAGAGAGAGAGAGAGAAAGATTATATATTATATATAATATATCTTTTCTCATCTATCAACCACTAGACATAAATAAGATCTTACTAATGAAACCGAAGCAGATAAAAGAAAGAATTATCTATCTATTATTAAGAGAAGCCGTATGCTCTTTATATTATAGTTGATATCGGAATAAAAATAAGTATCTATACTCTTCCTTCTATCTACAGAGAGCTTACTATAATATCCAGATTATAATCAAATACTCAAATAGATATACCTAATCCCAGCTTTCCATAATATGTAGTAATCTCGGTGTTGTAATAGCTGGCTTTAAGCGAGTAAGATCTTACTTTGAGTGTGGGTGGAGATGAATTATTAGATATAGCTAGGTACTCGTTGGAGTTATATAGATGTAATGGATTACTCTGAAATACGAGTCTTGTATTGTATTATATTATATAGTATCTATCTGAATGCTAGAATAAGAGGAATTTGATATATCTGTATCGATGTTTATAGTTTCCTCCTGAAAGGAAAGGAAAGAAAAGTATATTGAAATTCAGAATGAAATTCACAAGTCTTTCCAAAAAAAAAAGAATAAGAAATGATAAGAAAGGAAAAGGGAGGCTGAGAACCTGGTTCTACTTTTAGGGTAGTCATATTCTTCAAAACGAAGTCGTACCAAAAAAAACTCTAAAAAAACTAGATATATCAAAATATTTCAGAAGTTGTAACCTAAACCCCCAAAAGACGAAGAAGCTCGAGGCTTACCATTACTTCACAGCGCAGCCAAGTTATGTTATCTTCATCCGATAATAGAATCCCCGGTGCTGTAAATATAGAGAAGAGTAAAAAATAAGCTCAAGGTTCAAAAATACTTCAAACTACCTTGATCCGATTGCTTACCTCCGAAGCGGTAAAGTCGAAGAAGAATGAAATTGTCGCAGGACTACTATTACTGCAAACTATGTATCTCTATCCATTCTCATATCTGAGATGCGGAAAGACAAAATGAGAAAAGAACAAAAACTCTCAAGAGAAGGTTACCATCACTCCAGGGTCCAGACTCAAAACCGTCTTCACCGGACCTCACATCTCAAAACCATAAATACGCTAAGAGA